CAAGCATGGATGAAATTGTTAATCTCAAAGCACAACTATCAAAGGAGTTTGAAATAAAGGATTTGGGCTCTATGAAGAAAATTCTTGGAATGTGAATTAGTAGGGACACGACAAACATAAAGTTGAAGTTGTCATAGGAGGAGTATGTTGAAAAGGTTCAACATGGAGAGTGCTAAGCCAGTTAACACACCTTTGACAAGTCATTTCAAGCTTTTGAAGGAAAAATGTGCAGTAACAGATGAAGAACAAAACTATATGTCAAAGGTTCCATATACCTCGGCGGTAGGCAGTTTGATGTATGTCATGGTTAATACAAGGCCAGATATTGCACGTGCAATATGAATTGTTAGCAGGTTCATGACAAATCTGGGCAAGGAGCATTGAAAAACAGTCAATGGATTCTGCGTTACTTGAGAGATACTTCAGATTTGGTTTGAATTTTGGGGGTTTTGATGTTTGTTTGCAAGGTTTTGTAGATTCTGATTTAGCAGGGGACATTGACAACAGGAAGAGCACTATAGAATATGTTTTTTCATTGGGCAGTGAATTAGTCAGTTAGATCTTGAGGCTATGGAAAATAGTGATTATTTCAACAACAGAGGCAGAGTATGTTGCAGCCACGGAGGCATGCAAGGACATGGTATGGTTGAAGAGCTTCATGAAAGGTTGGGTAAGGAGCAAGATAATTCTAAATTGTTCAGCGATAGTTAGAGTGTGATATATCTGGCGAAGAACGCAGTCTTTCATTCGAGAATCAAGTATATCGACAAAAAGTATCACTTTATTCGTTCTTTGTTGGAGGACGAACAGTTCATTTTGGAGAAGATTCACACAATGGATAATCCTTCAGACATGTTCACAAAAGTGGTTACTGTGGAGAAGCTAAAGTTTTGTTCAGCTTTTGTGGGTCTTTCAGCCTAAGGACAGGAAAATGAGTTGCAGGGATGAGGGACTGTTTTTGGGAGAGATGTGGTTGATGTTGGTGTTTGAACTAGTCTCCAAATGGGAGAATTATTGGGCCTTCGTGGAGTTTAGTTTGTATGTTGATCTGGATGATGACTCGACCCAGAATAATGTTGCGTGGTTGTTAATGAGAAATTTTCTAAGGCTTGGNCAAATGGGAGAATTATTGGGCCTTCGTGGAGTTTAGTTTGTATGTTGATCTGGATGATGACTCGACCCAGAATAATGTTGCGTGGTTGTTAATGAGAAATTTTCTAAGGCTTGGTCCATGGAGTGAAGGGCAACGTCCCCGAGGAAAAAATTTTTGGCCTGTTTTGTAGCCCAGTACGCAGAACATATAAAAAATTGCTACTTCGGTGTTTAGGATTTGTATTCGTAATTGAAGCCGTCCTCTGTATTCCGCTCTCTGAAATCCTTGCAGCTTCGTGGATGTAGTCAAATTGTTGAACTACATAAAATCTTTGTGTTTTGTTCTTTGTTGTTTCTTATTACTTTATATTATTCGATTGTATGTATTTGTCTGTGGATTTAAGGCGTATTAAATCCCAACATGTGTGTTGCTTCAAAGAAACTTTNTTTGTTGTTTCTTATTACTTTATATTATTCGATTGTATGTATTTGTCTGTGGATTTAAGGCGTATTAAATCCCAACATGTGTGTTGCTTCAAAGAAACTTTTTGTAAGAGCTGATATTTCAATGCGGTGGTTCTGCGCAGAGGTGGTGCAGTGGTGGCCAAGTACGGTGACAAGAGTGTGAACTTTGATTTGGAGGATTTGGGCAACACCACTGGCCAGTGGGACTTGTATGGGTCAGATGCTCCTTCACCATACAATCCTCTCCAGGTATGTGATTTTTGTGTGTTGTTTCACATACAATTTGCAAATGATGTTATGCTTGAATTTTGTAGAGTTTCTGGGCATTGCTTTTAACTTTAAAAATGCACGCCATGTGTTCACTGTTTGATGTCAATATGTGTAAATCAAGATATATCATTTCAACTTCAGTTGTTAAGTATACGTCCAACTTGTCAGTTGTCAGTGCAACGTTGTTAATGTTATAGGAATTTAACAATGTAAGTGGTGGTGGATTACTATTATGGCAGAGTGAAAGGTGCATAAGTTTAGCTTTACCATATTCAAAAGAGTAAACAATGTATAAACGGATTAGTTAGTTTTTTTTTTTCGATCTGATTTCCTTAAGTTTCCGATATCTCAGTGTTAAATGAAAAAAGGATGTCTCAAATAACCATGTTAGAATTGGAGTTGAAATAAAGTTTTAGAGGGATGTATGAGAACCACAATTCAACAAATTCTTGTCCCAATATTTTTGTGTTAGGCTATAAGATAGTTTTTTTAATGGGAAGTTGGTAGAAGGATCAGTGGGGGTGAGGGTGGGAAATTATTANTTCAACAAATTCTTGTCCCAATATTTTTGTGTTAGGCTATAAGATAGTTTTTTTTAATGGGAAGTTGGTAGAAGGATCAGTGGGGGTGAGGGTGGGAAATTATTACTCTTGTGTTGATTCAAGATGAAGGCCGACACAGCGCTGTAGCTTCAAGCTCACAAGCTCTGCTTTCCAACTTAACGCATCAACCACTGGATTCGTGCATCCTGGCTTATACAAGATACACATATAGAACTCAGCCAAGAAGTCTTACCACCTTGCTTGCTTGGGGCTGAGCTTCTTCTGTATCTGGAAATAGCTGGTGAATATGTTATCCGTTTGGACAACGAATTTTGACCCGAGCAGATAGTGTCTCCAAGTGTTGTTTTAGCGCATTGAAAACATGTATCATTGTCACAGGCNGGCTGGTGAATATGTTATCCGTTCGGACAACGAATTTTGACCCGAGCGGATAGTGTCTCCAAGTGTTGTTTTAGCGCATTGAAAACATGTATCATTGTCACAGGCAAACTGAATCAAGTTATTAATTCAAGCTCCACATTGTAAAATAGGAAAAATGAGACAAGAAAACCAGATAAAAGTTCAAGAATATCCTATTCTCGTTGGAACAAGACATTGCAAGAAGCAACACTATGAAGATTGAAACCAAGGAATTGTGACCCAATGAAAGACTTTGATTGGTAATGCCCCCTATGGATGGGTGACCAATTTCCTGGATTCTTAATTTTCCGATTTTTGCAGTGCAATGATATGTGAGTCTACACCATGTATTTGTCTAATATTTGCATTTCCAATTGTAGAGCAAATTCTTTGAGACATTTGCTGCTCCATTCACCAAGAGAGGTTTATTGCTCAAATTGTTGATTCTGGGAGGTGGCTCCACCCTTGCTTACTTCAGCGCCACAGCATCAGGGGACATTCTTCCAATCAAGAAGGGCCTAAAACTTCCACCCAAGCTTGGGCAACGTGGCAAGATCTAATTATCGTGGAACTACCTTCTATTGTGTTTAAATGTATCTTTTCTAGAGATTGTAAGTATGCCCGAAGCCTAATATTTGTTTTTTCATTACAGTTGGGGCGTTGACTTTTAACTTGGTGGATCTCTGTTTCATTGGGTTATCTTGATCATTTAATGAAGATGCCATTTTTATTTGTTTCATCTTAAATTTGTATGGCAGTGGAACCATGTGTTTTTTGGTCCATGGAGTTTGTGGGGGGAGGGGGCACTGGAATTGATAGCCTAGAGAGTTTAACTACCACATAACATTTGTCTTTCAATTCATGAACGTCCTCAAACTTCTCTTCATCAACAAATGGTGCTTCCTTGTTTGGGTTTCTTTTCTCTTGCAATTTCTTGCCATTGACCAAAATTTTGAAAAAGTTTTTGCTTGGATAATGGGAGTTATGCACATTCTTCGTACGTAACAACATCATAGATAGAGTTATGAACGTCCTGCATCTGCCCATGTACAGCAAAGGAGCACCCTAGTACTAAATTGTATTTTATTACCTTTCCAGGATCATTTATGATATGGCACTTTATGGAACCATGGTCACTAGAGGAAACACAAGAAACCCTAGGTGTAGAGAAAGTTTAGGATGCAGATGGATCCAAAGATAAGGCCAAACAAATTTTTCACTAGTTACAAGTCAACAACTTGATATTCTTGTACAAAGGAAAGCAAATTCAAAGTGCAGATGTCTACTCATTCTTCCCCACCTTGCAAATTTACAAAAGGAAGGAAGAATCATAACTCAACAAAGACCTACCCGGCTTTGCATATGTACATGTGAAGGCGAAGCTTTTCCACCCGTGGCATATTTATGTCAGTCGATCTCTTCCTCTGATTTTAACTACACTGTTTCCCAGAACGTCATTAAATTAGTGGCGTGCTGTTGGACTTCTTAAACCACCTAAGTTCTCAAGTCTTTCTATATAGGAAACTCTCTTGTTGGTCACAATGTTAGGCGGTTTGACGAGGTTCTTTGTATTGGCATCTTTGGATTTGTCATCCTTTAAATCCTGCTTCGCATCATTCTCTCCTTGATCCAAAGTCCAACCCATGAAATCCAACAATGTCATTGAATTGGGTGCCTCTATTGAGGTCAGCTTCTCTAATTCTTCTTTGGTGCTAGGAAGCTTCAGTAACCCTGTGACTGGTGGGGACTCTTTCAAAGGGGACCACTGTTCTCCGCTCGATGGATTTATTGTCAGAAAATCTGCAAGGAGAACATCTTCTATTCGTGACATAACTGTGAAGGCCAAGCTTTCTAATATTCTTGAATAGCTCTCCAGAACAGCCTGTCCAACATCCTATGAAGCAAAGGATAGGAGGTTAATTTAAATGATCCCTACAGACCACGAATGAAGATGATGTAGTAGGAATTATCTCTTTGAAACGGTGAGGAAATTATTTTTGGAAAGGTTGGACCGTGAACAGAAAACAATTAGTAGACAGAGTCTAAAAAGAACAGTCACTTCGGTGGATATTCTAATTTATAATATAATCGACAGAGTATGATTTCATAATTACCATTTTGGAGATCCGTGAGAACTGCATAAAACTTATGAGTATGAAACCCACAAAAGAATCTAGAAAGTCGAAAATCATGCACAAGACTCCATGTTTGTATGCAAAATAAGAATTCAAGACAAAGGCAGCTATCTATTCTTACTTGGTTGTATTGGATTTTGCTAATGTCTAATGTAGATTGTGGAATTCCTGGGAATTGCTGCTTAAGAATGTATAGGATGGTCTCTGCTCTCTCTTCAAAGAGTCCTCTCTTCTCTATACTCACACCCCAAGCAGATTTTCCATCTTTAGCACTCATCTTCCTCCTCCAGATCATTATGGATGCTTCAATTTTATTCTTGAGGTCAAGGATTTTGTGCTCTGATGATAAGTCCATTGTTGAAAGAAAATGGTCTGGATCAAAGTATTCAACTGTGATACTTTTGTAGATTGAGTCACCAAGGCTCTCCCTTCCATTCTATCATAGAAATTGGGAGTGGAAAAATTAAGACACTAATCTGATGATACAAAAGTTGATGGAATCTTATATAAAAATTTCTACCTTGGGAAGAGACTCGATGTAGTTTTCAGGGATCCTCATTTCGGAGAGGACTTGAGCATTTATAGCCATTGCTGCTTTAAGGACTTGGTTTACTGAATCCTTCTGAAACTGCAGCCATTTCCTCATAACATCAGATAAACCGTTTGAAGGAACTTCAGGAGAGGGTAGCCACCATTTGTCATCTTTCCTTTTGTTCTTTTCTTTTTGTGATTCATCAGCATCTCTAGACATGTAACAGAATTCGTCTTGTTCTTTAAAGTTGTCTAGGCACTCCTGTTGATTGTAAACAAGTTGAAATGCAAACAACTGTACTTAGTATAAAATATCTACAGCGGGCTTGAAAAGAGATTGAATTGAAGAGTTAAATAACTATAGTTCTTACAATAAGCATTGCATCAAGCTTGCGTAGGGCAGGGATGTTCATATGAAGATNCGTAACAGAATTCATCTTGTTCTTTAAAGTTGTCTAGGCACTCCTGTTGATTGTAAACAAGTTGAAATGCAAACAACTGTAGTTAGTATAAAATATCTACAGCGGGCTTGAAAAGAGATTGAATTGAAGAGTTAAATAACTATATTCTTACAATAAGCATTGCATCAAGCTTGCGTAGGGCAGGGATGTTCATATGAAGATCAGTTCGCTGCCTTGTTACCATTACCTGATGAGTCAAAGGAACATTACCCCTGGTAAGCACAGACACACACTCAGAGACACAGAAACAGACACACACAGATTATTACCTCCATATTTATTCCATCTTTGGATATTTGCTTAGAAGGAACAAATTCAACGATGTGATCTGTGACTGATATAAGCCAATTGATTTCTTTTCTCCACCTTGCTTTCCTATCTGCTGGCATGGGCTCTAGTTGCCGTTGTTCGCCAAATACAGAAGCTGCATTTGTTTGAAAGAAGAAGAATTATGCATTCAAGGGAAAGTTACAACATATATATATAACCCGAATCATCTAGAATTATTCAGATGGATAAGCATCAAACATGATAATCCCAAAACCGGAGAAATTGACAGAGAACCAATTGGAATTTAGAGCCATATGCCAAAAAATTGGGGTCTCTTTGATCATTGATGTTTTGCTTCCTCTTGCTAATACCCATTCTAAATTTCTGAATTAAAAGCACAAATATATTGTCTGCAAAATAAGAGCCAGGAGAGAGCCTTACCTGCTAGATTTGTAATGGCATTTGATAAGGCCAAAGCTGATGAAACACCTTTTCCTCCTCCAGACATGTCCTCACCAAGAAGCAACTTTGCAAACTTTTCTTTCATCAGATCCATATCTGGATGCAAACCCACAAAGATATCAATTTTGACAACAATGCTCAGATATAATTACACAAACATGCGCGCGCGCACACACACATTCATGATGAACAAGAAAAATAGATGAACTATTATACAGTAACTTATGGTTCAACCAGCCAAAACCAATCGAAAAAAATAAACAAAGAAACTTGACTTGCCTGAGAGCTGGTTCTCTTTACTTTGTGAAGGTTTTGATGTTTGATTTCTTGACATCATCCTATTGTCCATGGGGGACGTTGAACCGTTATCACCCTCGCGGATTGAAGTTTGTGATTGCCTTGCTTCATTTTCATATATTCCTTTAAAATGAAACAGTCGAGATCTGTAGATTTTTTGTTCTTCCTCGAGTGCTTGAACCATTTTCAAATTCGAGCCAAAAAAATCCCCAGAATGAACCAGAAAAGAAAAATGATCAGAAGGGTAGAACAATGGCAATGAACAGGGAAAAAATGATCCTTTCAAGTTTTGTTGTTTTAAAAATGAGTTGGTGAACAGAAAGAAAGTCCAAGTTCTAAATAATTTTGTATATTTGAATCTGTCAATTTGACTTATAGAAGAGGAGGTGATCAATGAAACTTTGATTGGTATGGGCTTCTATTTGTTTTCTGCTTCTGTGAATTGTTCGAGGGGACGTGGGGTGCATGTTTTAGAAAGAATGGCTTGAATAGGGAAATATGAATTAACAAAAAGAAAAATTTTCCCTTTCCTTTATTTTGTTCTTTCTTCTTTTTGTTGGGAAATTAATTTTTTTTAATGGAAATTAGTTTTTTGAGGGTGAGAGAATTTACCGGTTGTGTTCTAAATTTGGAGTTCAAAGGCCGGCAAAGGGTCATGGACAGACCTCTAATAAATAACCACCGATCCTTTCTCTCTCTGTCTCTGTCTCACAACATTTAATCAACAAGGCAATTACATGTTTCGAATCGCATTAAATGTCAATTTGATCGCTAAAGATAATTACATCGAACCCATGCAAACTTTTATCTAAATAAATTGTATTCATTAAACAAATATAAGTTTCATCGAGATTTATTTTTCTATTTATAACAAACTTGTCGTTCTTCTCTCTTTAATAATTCTCAAGACTAAGAAGATTTTACTTGACAAATCNTTTCGAATCGCATTAAATGTCAATTTGATCGCTAAAGATAATTACATCGAACCCATACAAACTTTTACCTAAATAAATTGTATTCATTAAACAAATATAAGTTTCATCGAGATTTATTTTTCTATTTATAACAAACTTGTCGTTCTTCTCTCTTTAATAATTCTCAAGACTAAGAAGATTTTACTTGACAAATCAATGGATATTATTGGGTCAATAGGTCACTTAGTAGTCGGGCTAATAGTTTGATCTAAGTGAGCTCGTGCCTAATTGTCTAACTTTTTTTTTTTAGGCGAATATTTTAATTAGTTTATATATAAATGAGTTAAAGTTTATGAGCTCAAGTTAATTCATCCTCTTAAAAAAGATTAAAAAATTATTTAAATTTAACGCGTTCAAAAAATGAATTAAGCTCAAAACAAATTGATCCCGAAGTAAACTTGAGTATTTGGGATCAACCATACTTAATGGAACTCAGTAATTNCTTAATTAGTTTATATATAAATGAGTTGAAGTTTATGAGCTCAAGTTGAATTTTTTTAAGCTCATTCTCTTAAAAAAAATTAATCCCGAAGTAAACTTGAGTATTTGGGATCAACCATACTTAATGGAACTCAGTAATTTGTATTAATTTAATTCAGTGTTTTTTGACAAATTTTTATGTACACATATTTGGGACTGAATGATTCTACTACATTAATCCCCAACTTCGTCTGCAACTTCCGAACACATCGAGACCTAGAAATGGAAGCCATTGGAGTTTTGATGACATTCCCAATATCAACTTACCTCGAACAAGAACTGGACAAGCGGTTCAAGCTTTTCCGGTACTGGAAATTTCCTCTGAAAATTGAATTCTTGAGAGAAAATTCGAGTTCGATTCGAGCGATTGTCGGCACCGGCCGTGTCGGTGGCGGTGCCGATACTGAGTTGATTAATTCACTGCCCAGATTGGAAATCGTGGCCAGTCATAGTGTGGGATTGGATAAGATTGATTTGGTGAAGTGTAAAGAGAAGGGGATTAGAGTTACTTACACGCCCGATGTGTTGACTGAGGAAGTCGCGGATTTGGCTATCGGATTGATTTTGTCCACTCTTAGGAGGATTTGCGAATGTGATCGGTATTTGAGAAGTGGGTTGTGGAAGAAAGGGGCCTTCAAGTTGACGACTAAGGTTTCTTTTAAATTTGTTTTTTTTTTGAAGTTTTGTTTGGTTGCTCATATATAAAAGGAAAACAAATTGAATCTTTGTGTTAGTTTCACTTCTTTTCTCAGACTTTTTTAATTCAGATGAGATTCTAAATGATAATCTCCCAAAATTCAGCAACCGATGATGTGATATTTGGGTTATCTCTGCATTTGCACACATACATTGTAGTTTGCAATGTTTAGTGTTTATGAATGAATGGTCGTGCAGTTTAACTTTTGTAACATTATCATGGATTCGAACCTCGTCTTTCATTTCTTTGGTTGGTCTATGCTGATTTGATAAATTGAATTTGGTGAAATATATGTGTTGGAGAGGGGGTTTTGAAAATTTTTGTGGAAAATGGGATGAAGTTTGTTCATGGGCATTTTTACATTGTCAATTATTATTTTGACTAAAAGGCAGACCATCCGTAATCCTACCCCCATCAAAAGCTCTCCGAATGACCCCAAATATCATAGCAGACAAATCAATACCAGCAGAACTATTAGATTGTATTTGGTGTTTTGTTGGCTGATTCCTGTACCTGTACTTTTGGGACTAATGGTGCTGGATTTTTATATTTTTATTACATCATATAGCTCCTGCCTTTTCCATTTCATCATAATGACCACAAAGAGGTTTCCTGTGAGATTCGGTGGCTCTTTATTCAGTGCTATATTTATTAGATTTTGCAAGGAAAGTTAAGAGACAAAAGACTTCACTGGGACCGTGTAATTGGTCAGGTCAGGTGCCACAGTGATCACTTCTTCCTGCAAACTGGATCAGACCCCTTACACTCTTAGCAGTCATGACTCTCGTCATGAAAAAGAAATTTCTAAAATGGTTCTGAAANTTGGGACCGTGTAAAAATGGTCAGGTCAGGTGCCACAGTGATCACTTCTTCCTGCAAACTGGATCAGACCCCTTAAACTCTTAGCAGTCATGACTCTCGTCATGAAAAAGAAATTTCTAAAATGGTTCTGAAAGTGCGGGGTAAAGTATGTTTGAAAAGTTACATGGTGATACTAAGGCAATTTATGGAATTTGATTTGCTTCAGAAAAAAAAAATTCTCTATCTTGACCTAGCTTGGAGTGTATCGTTCACATGAGAAATGCTGTTTTATCACTGACACAGTTTTTGGTCATTTGTTTACCAGTGTTTTCTGTTTGTATGTATTTTGATTTACTAACTGCAGATTTAACTACCTGTTTTCTCCTTCCTAAAATTTGATCAATATAATGAATGGAGTTCTTATGAGCCATTTTTGGAAGTGTGGAGGCTGTCTACCTAGCTAGAGACCATGAATTGTGATATACCGTTGCTTGGTGAACACAATTGCACACAAATTACAATAGCCTTCAGTTATCAAGTCCTTCCCTTATCTTATCTGACGATGATTCTCCATAATCACAAAGTCTTTTGTTGTACCTGAGGCTGAGGTCCGATTTTTGGAGCATACTGGGATAATGCATTTATTAACTTTGGTGAATGAAAGTTGACAAATGAGTTAGACGGCTGCAGAATCATGCTACTTGCATATTCAGTTTCTATCAATCAAGATTCTTGAAAATAGTTATTTAAACTAATTGTCTAATGGCAGCACCTGCTTGTTATTTGATGTGATCATCTTAATAGAGATCAGAGGTTGGAATTTTATATGATTACTTATGCATATTACTGATTCACCTGATAGAAAAGTTAGATTTGTTCCGGTTATGCCAAATGCCAGTCATTGCTCTGGTCAATCTCTCTGTTTATCTAGATGAATAGATCATGAACTAAATTTTTGTTCGTTTCATTTTTTTCTGGTCTCTTTCCACTTGTATTTCTTATCCAACTACTACAATTTCTGTATTTTTTGCAGTTCAGTGGGAAATCAGTGGGTATTGTAGGATTAGGCAGGATTGGCTCAGCAATAGCTAAGAGAGCCGAAGCCTTTGGATGCCCAATTAGTTACTACTCCAGATCAGAGAAATCAGATTCAAAGTACAAATATTATCCCAATGTCATTGACTTGGCCTCCAACTCCCAAATCCTTATTGTTGCATGTCCACTAAACGATGAAACTCATCACATCATCAACCGCGAAGTCATCAGTGCATTGGGTCCGAAAGGAGTCCTCATTAACATCGGGCGAGGCCCTCTTGTTGATGAACCTGAGCTTGTATCTGCTTTAGTTGAAGGCCGATTGGGTGGAGCCGGCCTAGATGTGTTTGAGCATGAACCTAGAGTACCTGGGCAGCTCTTTGGGCTTGATAATGTTGTCCTCTTGCCTCATGTGGGCACTGCCACAATGGAAACTCGCAAAGCCATGGCTGACCTTGTCATTGGGAATTTGGAGGCTCACTTCTTGAACAGACCACTATTGACTCCGGTTGTTTAATTTTGAGCTTTCAAATGAGACTCCCTCTAGCGTCGGTCAAATCGAATGAGATTTCACTTAAAGCTCTTTGTAGAATTTTTTGACCACTAATCGAATCGCTTCCTCTTTCTCTTGAACGACCCTTTCTACCTCCAGTCTAGATATGGTGTTTACCCTTCAGATGTTTCAGTTCATGATTGTTTGGAGGCTTGCCATTTTTACTCTCTGAGTGTTAGATATTATTGCCTCGTGAACTTGCCAAACATGTTTTGTCAAAAAAAAATCTGTAAAGTTGTATCCATTGACATAGAAGGGAAAACCAGCATTAGATTAATTTAATAAGGCAATACTCGTATCTCATATCCATATCTCAATAATTTGGATTAAATTTCGATATTTGAAATTTGACTATAGAATTATGTTTCGGAATAAATAATTTCAATCGATTGGTTTTTATTATGATTTTAACTTATGAATAAGTANGAAGGGAAAACCAGCATTAGATTAATTTAATAAGGCAATACTCGTATCTCATATCCATATCTCAGGTTAGTGTTATCTCAATAATTTGGATTAAATTTCAATATTTGAAATTTGACTATAGAATTATATTTTGGAATAAATAATTTCAATCGATTGGTTTTTATTATGATTTTAACTTATGAATAAGTANGTAGAAGGACTTGAAATAATTGTGAGTAAAAGGGGATACTCAAATTAAGAGTAAAACCCCGTATATATAGGCAAAATATAAAAATCATAGTAAGGGTAAAAAAGGGAAAAGAAATCCTAAAGGGAAAAGAAATCCTAATAAACCTAGGAAAAAGAAATCCTAATAAACCTAGACTATCTATACTCCAACAGAAGGGAAAACCAGCATTAGATTAATTTAATAAGGCAATACTCGTATCTCATATCCATATCTCAGGTTAGTGTTATCTCAATAATTTGGATTAAATTTCAATATTTGAAATTTGACTATAGAATTATATTTTGGAATAAATAATTTCAATCGATTGGTTTTTATTATGATTTTAACTTATGAATAAGTAATAATTTACCCTCAATGCAAAAACATTCTGACTCCACCCTGAGTGGGACTATCAATGCCATAATAAAAGCCAGGGAATTTATTGAGTTTTTCAAACCTCAAGGGGGAGGAGTGTGATTTATTCAAATCTTCAAGGGGTAGTTTTTGTATTTCTCCCTTCTTTTGCAAATGGAAGTGAGAAAGAATACGACGTTGTGCTTCTGCAAGACCAAAACCACAGAGCCGGTTGGTTGATCATCACTGCTCAATTNGAGTGTGATTTATTCAAATCTTCAAGGGGTAGTTTTTGTATTTTTCCCTACTTTTGCAAATGGAAGTGAGAAAGAATACGACGTTGTGCTTCTGCAAGACCAAAACCACAGAGCCGGTTGGTTGATCATCACTGCTCAATTCTTTCCCCAAGGTATGAAAATGGATGGAATTGGCGTATTGATGACCTGCCCAATGTTGTCCTATCTTGAAGAAGAGCTAGATAAACGATTCAAGCTCTTCAGGCTATGGGAAGTACCTTCCAAGAACGATTTGCCGAAAGAAAACTTAGAATCTATCCGAGCAGTGGTGGGTAACGCAGGGTTTGGAGCTGACTCGGCGCTGATCGACTCGCTACCGCAGTTGGAGATCGTTTCAAATTATAGTGTGGGATTAGATAAGATTGACTTGGTCAAGTGTAGAGAGAGAGGCATTAGGGTCACCAACACGCCCGATGTTCTCACTGACGACGTCGCTGATTTAGCCATTGGTTTGATATTAGCGACATTGAGGAGAATTTGTGCGTGTGATCAGTTTGTGAGAAATGGGTTGTGGAAAAATGGCGATTTTAAGTTGACAACAAAGGTTTGTGATTTTCTCTCTCTTCCATTGCATGAGTGTGTAGCGTAGCTTGCTTCTAAATTTTCTTTAGACCCATTTCGATTTAACTTCCTGAACTTGTTTTTGTTCTTTTTGCAACGGAAATGTCTTACAGTTCGTGGCAATTATTGTTTCCTTATTGCTATTTGGTCTGTCTGTTTAATCCCAAACAGGTACATGTATATATTATCTCTTTTTTACATTTACCATTTGGGAATAACTTGAAGGTTAATCGACTTCAGCTTATTTCGGATTGTTAATTGCATCAGGAATATGGTGAATTTCGATCTTCTGATCAAAATTGTTCTTATGGTGTGGCTGAACTTTAGTTGTGTTGTTTAGTCTCAATTCGGTACAATGAGTTACCTGAGCACGCCAGGGATAATGGCAAAAGTTAATGAAATAGTAATTGGCAATATATTTTGGCCTTCTTCCTTTAATAAACCCTGGAGATATTTCAGTCAGCCAGTTAGAGAAGGTTTTATTAAGTGTTTGGAATTGGACAGGACTCAAAAAAAAAGCCAAAAAAAAAAAAATGGATAGCCACATCTCAATTGTATAGCCATTGCAGTCTAGCGGATTGCTGCAAAGCAACAATTTTATGATAGCCTTGCTACTTTCTACGGGACACTATTTACCAAAAATTTACAGGCTTCTTTGTATTATACTCTGCAAAATAGATCCTTGTTTAAGCACCAAAGATGGCTGCAATCCATATTGAAAAAGTTAGATTCACAGGAAAAGGAGTGAAAGCAAAGAATAGAGAAGTAAAAGAAATGTAGGAATAGGTGGCACTTAAAAGACTCCCCTATAGTGTGAATGGCTAATGCTCCTAATGTCAAATTTTCTTTGTAACTGGCTTACACTTTAGCGGAAGTCCATTTTCATCCTTTCTGGTTTCCATTTGTTTTGCTTTCTCTGTTTACTAACTGTTGTTTTCTATTTCAGTTCAGTGGTAAATCAGTTGGCATTATTGGATTGGGCAGGATCGGTTCAGCCATTGCTAGAAGAGCTGAAGCATTTGGCTGCCCCATCAGTTACTACTCCAGATCCAAGAAACCACATACAGATTACAAATATTACTCAAACATTATTGATTTGGCTGCTAATTGTGAAATCCTCATTGTTGCATGCGCACTAACGGAAGAAACCCGCCACATAGTCAATCGTGATGTCATTGATGCTTTGGGTCCAAAGGGCATTCTCATCAACATCGGACGAGGCCCACATGTTGATGAGACGGAACTTGTTTCTGCACTTCTTGAACAACGATTAGGTGGGGCGGGGCTAGACGTGTATGTGAATGAGCCTGAGGTACCCGAGGTACTGTTTGTGCTCGATAATGTTGTTCTCCTGCCTCACGTTGGAAGTGACACTGTGGAAACCAGTAGGGCCATGGCAGACCTTGTGATTGGAAATCTGGAGGCACTCTTTTTAAATAAACCTTTGTTGACTCCCGTGATCTGATTTTATGGAGAAGGTATGGATAAAACTCTCTAACAGGTAGTAGTTGCTATAGAACTGTGTTAACTGCTCCATGCTTAGTTCCAAGAACCATTTTTAGTTGGTTGTCAATGGCTCATAAGCCGTTATTCTGCCCTAATTTCTGATTCGTTTCATAAACTGATTTTTGAGAAACGGTCCGCATAATTTTAATTGTTTGTCGTGGGCTATTTTTTCAAAACTTGTGTTCTCTCAATATTATTGAAGATGTCAAAAATTGAAGATTTTTAAGAGATCAATTTTTTTCACCCTGTTGGCTTTCTAATCTTTTTTTCTCTTCATTTGTCTCTTATTATCTGTTGGTTTCATAAAATTCAGCCAAGTCTCTCCTTCAATAACAATGTAGATATTCTGAGAATTGCATGGGATAATTTTCTAGTTATATGGTCGCCTAATTAAGCTATCAGTAATAGATTCGGCCAGAACCTCCAACCTTGGATAGGTTGTTAAGTGAATTGGGAATCCATGTGCACCTTTTATTTTTGAATCTATCTGTGGATGCCTCATGAATTTGGTCCTAGTATCATGGTTGTTAGTGGCAATCGTCGTTTGTAGTGAGGGAGAGATGGAAGAAGTGGCAGCAGGGGTGGGAGAAGGGGCAGTGGTAGTAGGCCAACCTCATTTTACTTGTACCTATAGGGTTTCAGAATTAAGTCAGAACAAAACAATTGAAGTAATCTTAACCATTTGATGGCCCACATTATAGTCCACGAGAACCTTATTTCATTAGTATGATGCAATATTGCACGATGTTGATTGAAGCAAAAGGTAAATAGCTGTGATGTAGATAGCATAATCCCACTGCAATTTATATTTTTATTAGCCATATGCTCACATAGATGATGCCAGGAGATACAGGGAAGGCTATGAACCTCAACCTTGAGGCGTCGACAAAGTTGGATTAATCTTTTGGGGAGAATGGGNAATGTTGATTGAAGCAAAAGGTAAATAGCTGTGATGTAGATAGCTGTGATGAACCTCAACCTTGAGGCGTCGACAAAGTTGGATTAATCTTTTGGGGAGAATGGGATGCATCATTGACAATAGGCATAACTTTGGGCCCAAGAGCAGATGAAATGGCCAGGTATTGACTTTAAAAATGTGATTTTGATTCAAGTCATCTCCCTTACGAATCAAACCCTGGGATTAATACTACTTTCGTGATATGTATGAAACCTACAAACATGATATTTACACGAGTGAATTGGTTGGATGTTCTAAGAGACTAAAACACAAATACCTCCTCATTAGCCTTTGGGAACTGCTTGTTGCTTTTATTTTAGCTAGACTAATTACCANCTACAAAAATGATATTTACACGAGTGAATTGGTTGGATGTTCTAAGAGACTAAAACACAAATACCNACCTACAAACATGATATTTACACGAGTGAATTGGTTGGATGTTCTAAGAGACTAAAACACAAATACCTCCTCATTAGCCTTTGGGAACTGCTTGTTGCTTTTATTTTAGCTAGACTAATTACCATAACCTGATTCTACTGTGCTAGGGTGAAAAGCAGATGTGCTGCTTTTTGGAGGAGAATTAGTCCATTTGACACGCAAAAAATAACAATCATGCATCTAAGGATTGAAAAAGAAAATTTACACTATGCATGTGGGAAATATTCTTTGAACTTCCTGGTAAGTTAGTCCTCTCCGTTAGTTATTGTTGTGTTGTTTATCTCGTCAACTCTTTTCTTGGCATCAAAATGGAGCTTTAGGGATTAGGGAAATGTAAAAGATAAACAGTCATGCAGTAGATAACATTTACATATGTAGAAACGATTAGGCATCCAAAAATCCTCTGTAAGGCATTACATTGCTTCCCCTTGTGTCCTCTTTTAGTTTACTCTTTTTCTGCTAGTCTATACAAACCAGCTCTGAAAAATGAAGAGGAAGAACAAAGAAGCTATGGACACGGAATGGTCTAATAAAAAGGAAACACGCTGCTTCTTATATCTTCATTTTTCTTTCCCTTTCTCAACTTTCTTGGCAACCCTGCAACCAAACACATGTCAAGGGAAGGATGAGATTCAGGGAGATGAAGCTCCTTTGAAGATGAGGAAGTTTAGGGTCTCCAGTGTGAAATAGATGAAAGTCCCTTTATTGTGGGTGAAGAAACACCCGAAGTTTGATCCCACCACACACTGCCATCCATTCCCGTATCTCATGTCGAACTCCTGCCATTGTGAAACCAGAAAGTTTCAGGAAAAAGTTAGAATGCATGGAAAGTAGATAGATAGATACATGGGGGGAGAGAGAGAGAGATTGTGAAACATCCCATCTCACCTTTTTGATGTGGGCAGCAATGGATTTGCATTCAAAAACATCGTAGAGATCCAGAGCATGAGACGCAGATGCCATGGCTTGGATCTGCATCTTCACAGGCATGTCTGTGTCCTCTACCAGAGCTTTCCCTTCTAACATCCTCTCTCTCTCTCTCTCTCCCTCCTTTAGCATAAACAGAAGTAAAAACCCAGTTGCAATTAGCTCTATCTAGTTCTTATCTTTAAAACCCAGAGATGAATATCTTTATTTAATTGTAAACTATGTGTAAGAGGAAAAGGTCGTAGGAATCAGATTTTAAAGCACCTAGGTCATCACCACCCTCGTTTAGGTGTCCTCCAAATGTAAAGGAACCTTTTGATATTCAATTTCATACTGGCACGTCGTCCAATTTCTTGTCCTTTCCGTTCTCACAGGACATCGTAACGTTATGTTCTTCTCTCTCTCTTTCTCTCTCATGCTCAAGTGGATAATGATGTTAAGGATAAAGCTGATGAGGTTCAAATTGATCCAACATTTCTATGGCTTTTTTGTTGTTATTTCCCCTCCATTTTTGCTTTGACCATCTCAAAAGTTTCCTCAAAACTGCAAAACAAAGCTCAACTAACCTCATGCAGAATTATTTAACCCCCCCCCCCCCAAAAAAAAAAAAAAAAACCCTTAACCTTAAGCCTAATTGTTGTTGAGGAAAAAGAAATGCAGAATGGTTGGTATCTTTGGTTTTTTGCTGGTCGATTAATATTATTCATGATGCATTTTGCTTTGAGGATTTTGACTGCTGATTCCAGGGGAGACGGTTTGGTTGTCGGCGACGTAATTGAGGAGAAGGGAATAAGAAGGTTGCAAAGCTTCGATGCCATTGATATGTTGCATCAACTAGTTTGGTGCGATTGATACAATACACACCCTTCCCTTTCAAGTTGGGTCAATACAATCTTGCAATTAAGGAGCTATGATATTTTCCTTCCTGAAATATCCAGTAGATTTCATTTTACTACCCTATAAACTCCACCCAAAAAAAGAAAAAAGAGAGATATTATATGCGTATGTACATACATTACTAGTGATAAAGATAAACAAATTAGCCAAGACAGGTTGGTTAACTGCTGAATAATCTGCGGCAATGTTACTTTCAATTGAAAAACAAAAGGGATTAATTAATTTTTACCCTTTAAAGTATATCACATGATTTTTATCCCAATCAATAATGATATTTAATTTATGGGTAATTTGTAATTCATGCACTTCAAATTCCAATTGGAATAATCAATTTTTTAAAGTTATAATTGAATTTTAATTTAGTTCTCCATTTACCTATACTATGTTTGTCCAACGAAACAAAATCTTAATGAGTAGTTAATAACTCGTCTAAATTGAGGATCAGTCCGTAGCAAGGGCGGAGGCAATCCTGTTTCAGGGTGGGCAAGTGCCCTCCCCCTCCCCCCCACAATATATTTTGTTTATTTATTACTTAGCTATGTATATTATATATTTGTATAATATATTATTTGTGCTTACCCAAAATTACAGACAAAAATATTAATTCCGAATATGTTTTTTAAGTATTTTTTTAATATTTTTAATTATGTCCAACCTATTTTTTTAGCACATTAATTAATGTACATTTTATATCAAATGAATAATTTTAATTATGTCCTTCCTATGTTTTTTTTTGGCACATCAGTTAGTGTATATTTATGTCAATTGAATATGAATTTTTTGACACATTTTGGGCAGGTTATGTNCCCTATTTTTTTTTTTGGCACATCAGTTAGTGTATATTTATGTCAATTGAATATGAATTTTTTGACACATTTTGGGCAGGTTATGTATCTATCTAGATGAATTTTGAATATATTAGAATTATTTTATATTTTCTAAGACTAAAAAATACATGATATATATATTCGCTAGTTTATTTGTGATTTTGACATTTATTTTTGTTAATTATGATAAAAATTATAGAGTGCACATTGAACTATATAATCGATCAAATAATGTATAAATATCAAAGTGATAACATGATTATGTATCTAAAGAATAATATAGTTGTTATGTAACATTTTCAAAGTATAAAAATTTATTGAAGTCAATTCTAAATAATTTTAATTATTTTATATTTTATATAAAAGAAATATTATCGTTTGTATATATTAGGTTTGCCAAATTTTGATATGGTGGGTTTAATAAATTTNGTGCACATTGAACTATATAATCGATCAAATAATGTATAAATATCAAAGTGATAACATGATAATGTATCTAAAGAATAATACAGTTGTTATGTAACATTTTCAAAGTATAAAAATTTATTGAAGTCAATTCTAAATAATTTTAATTATTTAATATTTTATATAAAAGAAATGTTATCGTTTGTATATATTAGGTTTGCCAAATTTTGATATGGTGGGTTTAATAAATTTTTAAATATTAAATATAATATAATTAAATAAATTAAAAAATAATAATTTTTTGAAATATTTGTGCTCAGTCAGACACAATTTCTTGATTTCGCCCCGTTGAATTGTAGGTTTGAACCTTATCATTCTCTTCCTTGTAAAAGTTTAAAATAGTGATTAAAAAGCACTCTTGTCTATTTTAATTATAAATTTTAATATTAAATGAGAAAAAAATTAATGCAAAAGCCAAGAATCAAAATTGGGTTGTTTAGGAAAACCATATAATAAATATTATGAGTTGGATTGGGTCCAACCTCTGATAATGACCTTATGCTGCCGACACTCATTTCCGAACTACCTTTTTGTGTAGACTTAGGGCCAGGTTGGCTGTGGTGGCTCCCTCTCGTAGATACAAAGCTTTGCTCATTGACCGTACAAAAATAGCCACTCCTTGCCTCTTTCATTCACACAAGCACACCCAATCTGAGGTAGGGGGGGAGAGAGAGAGAGTGAGTTGTCATATGGGTTCAGAAAAATCAGCCCAAGCTTTCTTTCGTTCTTTCTTCTCTTCTTCAACAAAATGTGATTCATCGTCTTTTGAGCACTTGATTTGAGCTTTGTCTTACATTTAGTATATTATATTCTTCATCTTACTGTATGTACTACTAGCTTTCGTGCTTTTTGTACGGTGGATAGCACAGTTTTTGTCCTTCTTGTAATGCTTGTCTTTTGCATAAAGCTATTTTGTTCAAAATTTTAGAGATTTTCTTCAATTTATCATTCAAAATCTACTGTTTGAGTTCAAAATTGTCACAATTCATTGAAAAATTTCTGGGTATCAACAAATTTTCACTTTTAGTTTCTTCAGCGAATCTGTGGGGAAGTTTGACAGTAAAATTCTACAATTTTCACTGTGATTGTTGTAAGTTTCTTGAAAAATGCTGCACACCAAGTCTGAGTCTGATATAGCTAGTTTAGCCCCATCATCCCCTTCAAGGTCTCCGAAGCGGCCTGTATACTATGTACAGAGCCCTTCAAGGGACTCTCAGGATGGGGACAAGTCCTCATCAATGCAGGCCACTCCCAATTTCCATAGTCCAATGGAGTCGCCTTCGCACCCGTCTTTCGGACGCCACTCCCGGAATTCCTCATCCAGTCGTTTTTCCGGGATATTTAGGTCGTCGTCGGGGAGAAAAGGTGGCCGGAAAAGCAATGATAAGGGGTGGCCGGAGTGTAATGTGATTGTAGAAGAGGGAATGTATGATGAACTTGATGATGATAAGGGGTTCACTCGGAGGTTACAGGTTTTGATGGCTTTGCTTGGCTTTGTTGTTCTGTTTACTGTCTTTTGCCTGATTATATGGGGTGCTGGCCGGCCTTATAAAGCAGAGGTTACTGTGAAGGTACACTAAATTAGTCGTTGTTTTCCGATTTGCCTACATATTGATAATGTTAGAGGTTATTGTGAAGGGTAGGTAGGCAAATTCTTGCTGCTATTTGGTGCTGTTGTCTTTAAAGAACATTCATATATAGAAAGATGGAAGCATCAATGAATGAGATGAACAATGTAACTTGTAGTTGTATGAATGAAGATGGACTTGTTGTTTATAATCCACAAATTATTATATAGCCAAGCAACCGAGTATTGCAAAAGAATTATTACTACGTGGAATCCAAATTATGTTGTGTGGCATTGTTACAAACTTTGTCATTGTTCTCTCCCTCTGAATTTTGATAAATTACTTGCCTACTTAAGATGATTGATGTTTGCAATCCTGTAACACCCTTTCCATCCCAATGCGGTTCTAAGAGTCCAAGTTGATATTCATTTATGCTTTTGTGTCAGTTGCTTAATAGTACATGCTATGATTTCCTCCGTTTGTTGGATTTGTAAATTTATGATTTCCTCAACTCTCAGTTCTTTCTTACTGGATATTTCCAATGTTGTCTATTGGAAATTATATTTTTAATTTCTTTCAGTAGCCATTAGAAAAGTTAATATCCAGCAAAGATAGAAATTGTAAGTCTCAGTCTTTCAATAAGCATTTGCATAAAATAAGCTGCTTATATACTATCTTAGGCTGATCTTTTTCACGTCAAGAATTGTTGCTTGCTTTTTCGGTTAAGTCCTCACTTTCTGGTGGATGAGGTTATCATTGCAGAGCTTGGCGGTAGATAACCTCTATGTCGGGGTGGGTTCAGACATGTCTGGGGTACCAACAAAGATGCTGACAGTGAACTGCTCATTGAGGATGAGCATATACAACCCTGCTACATTCTATGGAATTCACGTGAGCTCCTCTCCTGTCAATCTCGTTTATTCAGAGATTACCGTTGCAACTGGTCAGGTGATAAATCTGCCCATTTTTGTCTATTATGCTTCTGTGTGGTGTAACCATATGTAGCACTTTGTCAGGCTAGTTCAGTTGAATTTAAATTTGTCTCTTAAAGGGGCTGGGAAAAGTAGAAATCACCTTGACACCATGATGTCTTTGGCTTGTTGATTGAATTACTAAGCATATCAGTTATATATTTCAGTTCAATGAATAAAGTACCCCTTTTTCTCATTATGATTGTAGTTGAAGAAATACTATCAGCCAAGAAAGAGTCACCGATCTGTGGTGGTGAACTTAGAAGGAACTAAAGTTCCTTTGTATGGAGCTGGATCAAATTTAACAGTCTCCGACAATGGTGTCCAAGTTCCATTGACGTTGGAGTTTGAAATTCGGTCACGAGGAGATCTCGTAGGGAAATTGGTGCGGACAAAGCATCGAAAGCAAATATCTTGCCCTTTGGTCATTGACTCCACTAGCACCAAAACTATGAAGTTCAAGAAGGGCTCCTGCATTTATGATTGAAGTCTACTTGGTGACTTGCTTTTTTCTAGCTGTGGTGACTGCTTGTTTAAGCTGTCAAGCTTCTGGGTGTGTTCATTTCCAGGAAGATGAATTTCAATTTCCTTTATCTATAGTAAAACTTAAGTGATCAAAAGCTGTAAAGGGTTGATTAGTATTGTTCTCTCACATTTTTTGTGCAAATTAATGTACGTAAAATACGTATTTGCATGGATTATATGTGATTAAGTTTTACTTCAAATTCAACCTACGGATATGTTCTTGTTTTATTGGCAGTTTTGGCGCCGGTGGTGTTNTTATTTGCATGGATTATATGTGATTAAGTTTTACTTTTAAATTCAACCTACGGATATGTTCTTGTTTTATTGGCAGTTTTGGCGCCGGTGGTGTTGTTGGTTTGGCCTCATGGTTGTGGAGGATGGTTTTTAACAATCAAAAATGATTTTTCTGATATGATAGTGATTTGCAGAGTTTTGTATTGAAAATATGTTGAAAATTGTGGATTTTTGTAACATTTTAACTAAAATAACGCTTTATGATAAATAAATAAAAGGGTAAATTACACAATATCCCCTCCAACTTTAGGTCATGTGCAATCTACTCCTTTTGGTTTTAATTTTAACAAATTATCACGTCAAAACTCAAATATGTCTCAATTAACCCAAGCCGTTAATTTTAGCAGTGAAAAATAACATAAGTTAACCATGTGCAAGTCACATGATCTCAAATAAAAATATTAAATAAATTTGAAATCCTAAAAAAATTATACTGTATATTTTAGAAAAAACATAAATATTGTCTCTCCCGAGGGTGATCTTGGGAGTTATGGGGTGAGAAAACTAGACGTCACCAGAGGAAATACGGGGTTCCGTCAATGGGGGAAGCAGAATTTGTTGAAAAATGAGGTCTAGTGTCGGAAAATGGAGAGTATTTATACCTGAGGAATTATTGTTTTTTTTTTTTATTATGTGTAATTTGTCTTTTCAATAAACTTGAGATCATGACTGACTTTCGTCATTTTTCACTGTCAATGTTAACGACTTGGGTTAATTGAAGTATATTAGAATTTTGAGAGAGTAATTTGTTAAAATTAAAACTAAAAAGGGTGATTGCAACATCTCCAAAAGTTAGAGGTAGTATTTTATAAAATTGACCCTAAATTAAAACCCACCGCTAATTTCGGAATGATGTTCAAAACCCACGCTAATAGAAATCAATTCACATATTATATGCATCCATTTCACACTTCCCCACAAAACAGTTTCATTCAGGCACTGGCAATAGATCGTCTCAAGGCTTTTTGATTGAGACCCTAAAATTTTGGCAGATTTATCACTTGCCAACACAAGAACTCAATACAGATCTCATACGAAACTACATCAATTTCTCTCTACGAATCCTCTAAACCTATAATCATATATTGTACCCTCGCGATCATAGACATGTGTGCACCAAAACCCACTTCAAGATTCATCTTTTCCACTCTGATTCTTCTCCTATTACTCGGTTCTTTCATCACTATCACATCCTCTGAATCCTCCAAAGCAAACGATGATGTGGATGATATGGAGGGCATTGAAGAACTCATGGCATTAGATGAAGAAGATGAATTACAGGAACAACCACCACCAGAAGGGGTTCACCATGATAAACCATCTGAGGCTGAGGTTTTAAGCAAAGCTCAAAGAATTGTCCTGGAGCTTAACACTGATAGTACCAAGAGGGTCATTGATGAAAATGAGTATGTTCTTGTTCTGGGTTATGCTCCATGGTGTGCTAGAAGTGCTGAGCTTATGCCTCGGTTTGCAGAGGCCGCAAATTCACTGAAAGATTTGGGGAGTTCCCTTTTGATGGCGAAGCTTGATGCTGAGCGGTATCCGAAGGCGGCGACGGTTCTTGGGATCAAAGGATTTCCCACTCTTCTTCTATTTGTTAATGGCACTTCTCAACCTTACAGTGGTGGATTTTCCTCGTACGCACGCTTTTCCTTTTTCTAATTATGTTTATGCTTATGAAAGTATATAATATAAGTCTAATTGTCAAGGTTTATACAAGTTGAATTTCACCTTGATCTGTTATTTTGGGTGGCTTGTCAGTTAGGGAGATTATGTGTGCAAAGTCTGGACATTTAAAAATGAACTTATATGTATGTATTTTATGTTACATGCCTGTCATGTGCACAGATATGAATATAATGTAATTTGCAATTGATTGTGTTTGTCGGATTTCCTGTCACTTAGGGAGGAAATTGTGATCTGGACGAGGAAGAAAACAGGTGTGCCTGTTGTTAGAATTAGTACAGTAGCTGAGGCAATTGAGTTTATCAAGCAGCATTTGATGTTTGCTGTCGGGCTGTTTCAAAAGTTTGAGGTATGTGCATCTGCTTTGTTGTTGGAATTTCTGCTTGACATGTCTCTTGTAAGGGATTCTGTAAACCGAAACCTAGGGTTAACCCAAAATGTTGCACTAGGATGTCTGGTTGTAGTTGATGCATAATCTGTTTGAAAATGAAGTTCAACAAATCATTCTATGATTGTGGAGAATTGTGAGACTATAACGAGTCAAGAATGCAAGTTGGTAACTCCAACTTAAGAAAGCAATTGGCCGCATCAATGCTTTTTTTGATTGCCGAGCAGTTTGATANGTTGTGAGACTATAACGAGTCAAGAATGCAAGTTGGTAACTCCTACTTAAGAAAGCAATTGGCCGCATCAATGCTTTTTTTGATTGCCGAGCAGTTTGATAAGAAATCCGGCATTAGCATTTGGCGTGTTCCAAAACCCCTGAAATAGATTGTACTATGCTATCCTAGAATTAGCTCAACTGAGTAGTGTTAATTTATGTCACGCAGATGTAGGAAACACTAGTGATGAAATCTTATAGTGTAACCAAGTTTCCAGATTCATATCCCTGTGACCTTGGTCTGCAAGACTCCCTTTTGACATCCATATGTGGGACCACATCCCTATTCAAATAATGACCAATCTTCTATTTTTTCACTACCTCAATTTCTGTCACTTTTTTGTGCTTCTTTGGTATAAGGTAGAGTAGAATCAAGGAGCATTCGAAAGTCGGAGATAAGTCCATATGGATTGCGACTTTATACTAACTTGACATTGTTGGTTGTTATTCCATAATCCACAAAGGCTTCACTGTTAGATCTGAATATCAATAGCTTTTTATTACCAAATTCCAAGTCCAGTGAGCTATAGGATTTAGGACTGACGTTCTCACGAGAGTAACATTTATTAAAAAGGAATTTTTGAGAGAATAAATATTTTCAGTTGGGTTCATTGTTGATTGAATAAGTAGTGTAATTCAAACATCTTTATCAGCTTCTCCAAGTAAAGATGATGTAGTATGAGCTAACTTTTTAATAGTACGTAACATGCGAAATTTTTTGAGAGTATATAATGAGATAGAACTGACAGTTTTAATACTCAAAAAGTAGATAGAACTGAAATTTAGCTAACCGTACAGATTCAAAACTCAAGAACGCATTAATAGTTGATGTTGAAAAAGTAACCTCAGGGAAACATATTATAGGAAATAAAACATTTCTCTGAGCATGGTGAGTGGGTTTTATGCTTGAACGTGGCCATCTCTTGCCTATGTTGTGCTTTGTCTTGTTCTTTTTGGTTCATATGTGCCTACAGAAAGGCCAGGAGTTCATATACTTCACATATCACTTATATTGTTCGATAGCCGTGTATCATGACCTATTTCCTCCTTGTGACATATGATTATTTCATATCCTTTGCTTTTGTGTTTTCTGTTTTCACCGTAAGGATATTTGTGGACAAAATGGCTTTGTCTGTATCTGCATCTAAAATATGAAAATATCAACTAATAATGGTTACGGGAACTAATGTACCGGCTCTTCTATCCCAAAATTGCTGGTAATATAGCCCTTCCTTATGTAAATTATAATGACAATAGTATTTTTGTGTAATTACTGTTGCACCATTTCCATCTTCCAGCGTCTTTTATTTTTCCATTCTTTTAATCCTTTATTGGGTTCTGTTTATTCATCAAGTGGTGAAGGAGGGTTTTGTGGGCTTTTCTTCACCCATCTCCCCCAGAGAAATAACAAAATAATACTGGTACATGAGCCTGATGTTTTTCTGATTTGTCATTTTGATTTATTGACGCATGATATTTCTCAGGGACCTGATTATGATGAATTTGTAGAAGCAGCCACTTCTGACAATGAAATTCAATTTGTTGAAACAAGTAGTACCGAGGTTGCCAATGTTCTATCTCCCGATATTAAACCTACTGATCGTTTTGTTGGTCTTGTTAAAAGTGAACCAGAGAAATACACTACATTTGGTAAGTTTATGATGTTCATTGATTTTCTGAACATGCTTGTCCAGTTACTGAGATCTGTTTCGCATATCTTTCACTTTCTTCTAAGGATAGAAGATTCTTTCTTGCTAGTTTTGTTTTGTTAAGAGTGAAGTAGCGACCTTCAGGAGCAAAGCTAAGAATTCACTGCTAAGGAGTGAACCAAGAGCAGAACAAAGTACAATTTAATGTTGACAGGGGACATATTATTAGGAAAAAGGAGGGGGGGGCGGGGGGGGGGCAACTTAATAATATTTTTTAATCAACAAAAAAAAGGAAAAAAAAAAAAATTGCTGAGTGTTTTTTTTGGATTCCCATGAACTGCAATTATGGAGATACATTGATAAATGACGTTGTTTGCTTTTGCAGAAGACACCTTCAAAAAGGAAAAGATCTTGCAGTTTTTGGACCATAACAAATTCCCATTAGTCACTGTACTGACTGAACTGAATTCGGCCAGAGTTTACTCCAGCCCAAACAAACTCCAGGTTGCTGTTCTTCTAATTTATTTCCGTTTTGGTGGATTCTTTTTGTTTTCTATGTTTAAATTCTATATCAAGAAAACCTGCTGTTGACAAGTGTTAAAATCTGAGGTAGACTTTTTATGTGTTAACTTATCATGGGCTCCCAATGTTTTCAAGTTGATAATTTAACATCATTTAGTCAGCAGTAAGAGGGTAGGCTGTCATAAGGAGATGGCTTCTCAGTTTGCCTATCTCTTCCCTTGACTGTCAAAATTTTGAAACACTGCTGATAATGATGTAGTGGTTACATCTTGCATGTTTGTCTATTTACTAGTAAAGGGTTACATGGTGACAGAGGTTTTAACTAGCTCTACTTGCCTGTGAGATGATGTGGATTCTATGCCTAAGGTAGAAACTATTCCAAAAACAATCCTGTTTATTTATTCTTCATTCTTTACTGAAGTATCAACAGTAATGCGAACTTATTCAAAGTTTAGGAAAATTGTCTCTGAAAGCTAAAATTGTTAGGACCTGAGTAAATTACTAATTTCCCCATTCGTTTATATCAAGGACCGTATCTTCTGGTTAATCACAAGGCACACTGCTTTGTGCTTTGACATTTTTTCTCCACTATTGCGTATATTCTGGCATCCACTTACCGATGTACCATTTCCATCATTGGAAAGGGTTATAATCATGGTAAATGAAAGATTAAATATGTTCAAATATGTGTCTGAGGCAAATTCTTGATGACGTCTTCATTGTCAACCAGGTCTACGTCTTTGCAGAGGCTGATGACTTCAAGGAACTTCTCGAGCACTTTCAAGATGTTGCTAGGAAGTTTAGAACAGAGGTTGATGTACCAGATTTTTGAGCTAGTGGGCCAATTCTTCTCCTCTTGCTATTCTGATGTCTTATAACATCTTCTTCTGGCTGCAGATAATGTTTGTATTTGTAGACATTAGAGAAGACAACCTGGCAAAGCCCTTCCTGACCTTATTTGGACTAGAAGAATCAGACAAGACTCTTGTTAGTTTCCTGATAAATAATTTTCCTAAGCTGCAAGGTTTAGTTTTAGACACAGATATCCCAAATTGCTGATGCAATCATATTCCATTGTGGCTGATAGGTGACTGCGTTTAATTACAAAAGGGGCTCAAAGTATCTGCTACAGTCTGATCTGACTCCAAAAAATATAGAAGTAATGATTTGATCTATTTTGTTGTCTCGCAAAATGCATTTACTTGTTTATCGAAGACTCATTTATAAATTGGTTTTTGCAGGAGTTTTGTTTGGGGCTTGTCCAAAGTACTTTTTCACCATACTACAAATCACAGCCAATACCAGAGAATGTAAGTGTCTTAATTATTGATTACAAAAAATCAATCTGCTTTGGCCTAGCTCAAATACTCCTAGTTAAGTTCGTATCATTTCCTTATGCAAAAATGCTGTTATGTGCTTTAGAAATATCAAGAACTGGACATGTGTAGATTTGACTTGGTCATTGTATTGGATCTGGTTGCCTCAGAGCATAAAAATCTAAATTTCTTTTTTTGAGTGAAAGGTTTGCTATCTACTTCACATATATGTCTATAGACTTGCTTGAGTTTGGCATGATTGGAGTGAATTATGTACATTCTTCAACCATCGCTTTCTTTTATTTTCTGTCTTCCTCTTGGAATGACATTTAGTTTGCACATAACTGTGCCTTTGGTAACTACTTATGCACCATTGTATAGGATTAAAGTCGAAATTTGAAAAATAAAAAACTACCTATAGAATGCTGCAATTCTATATTTATTCCTAAATGACCTTTTCTACTCACATAACCTTTAATCATGTTTATTTATCCACAAAAGAGGACCTTTATTCAATTTTTGTTATAATTTCATATTTGAAATAGTCATTATCCTTAAATCCGGTTAAATGGAATTTGTTTGAGCACACCTTGTGAAACGGGGGATATTTTCTATTTGTATGCAACTCAAAATCATCTTTGGTTTGTGAAAATTGCAGAAAGATGCAAGCATTCAGATCATTGTTGGCAAGACATTTGATGACTTAGTTCTAAGGAGTCCCAAGAACATTCTTCTGGAGGTATGTAAATTTTTATGTAGATCAGATTTTTCTATCTTCACTCTTTGGGTAACACAACTTAATTTTGACAAAAGAATCTACTAGTGCTACATTTTTTGAAGTATGTACCGTGTGTGAGTATGACGAGCTACAAGGGGAAAAAAACAAGTCTTGTCAGTACATGCCCATACAAGTGATCAGTGAAAAAAATTAAGGCGTACTAATTTATTGGTTTGAAAACAAAAAAATTGCTACCACTGACGTGATACCGCTGCCATATATTTCCAGATTCTTGCTGTAAGTATACAAAATAATGCTTTTCCTTTACTGCAAAATTCAAATTTCCTTTTCAATTACAATTAAGGTACACACACCATGGTGCATGACCTGTGAAACTACAAGCAAACAGATTGAGAAGTTGGCAAAGCATTTCAAAGGGTTGGAAAGCCTGGTATTTGCAAGGATAGATGCTTCGGCAAATGAACATCCAGAACTACAGGTCAGTGTTCCAAAGCTTCATAGAACTTTTAAGGACTGTCATACTAATCCTCAGCATACAAATTTAGTCACTTAATCTGAGCATATTGAGATCATGTTCATGAATTTGGTATGTCGCAGGTAGATGACTATCCGACACTGTTGTTTTATCCGGCAGGAAACAAGTCCAAACCTGTGCGTACTCTCGGACATTCTTTTACGTTTCTTTTTACTCATGCTCTTATCACTTTCTTTTGCCTTATCTCCATTTTCCTGGGCAGATCAAGTTTTCTACAAAATCTAGTTTGAAAGACTTGGCAGTGCTCATCAACAACCATATAAAAGGAAGCCAGGATCATACAACCAAAGATGAGCTGTAGAAAACATAGTGATAGAAGGTAATGCATATGAAGACTATCAACTGCAAAAACTTGCTGCTGATATAAAATTTGGCAGTGATAGTATTTCATGTATACTTATTAGATTATAGACTTCCTAGTTCTTTGCATTGGCTAAGTTATTCAGAAGTCATGCAAAGAGCAATTTTTTCACGTCCAATTACAGTATAACAGTGTCCCCTCCCCCAGGTGTGTAACACAATGCGTGTGTGGAGATGATGTTATTAACCTGTATGAGAACAGATAAGGGAAAGCAGCCTAAGTTAGCCTGACTTATTTTGAGGATATAGCAGAATTTATTGATCATCACCAAAAAGTGAAAGCAATGTCTATGTTTTAGTTGAAATGTATGTGCATGCATCTCATCGGTCGCTTCATGCAGGTGCATGCATCTCATCTTCGCTTCATAGTCTCGTGCACTGAGCCACTCTTTTCTTAATTTTATTAATATTCAACCAGATCTTATTAGTACCCCTAAGATGAAGACCCAAATTCATGCAAAAGAATTGGAAGGCCTTGCCCTACACCCCATCAGAAACTAGGAAGAAGTTTATGAAGCATTGGACTTAGCTAACCCTATTCCTGTCATCATACTGGATATCAGATACATATACACGAGCGCAGAGAGAGAGGTAGAAAGCAAGTCAAGAACAAGTCTCACATCATCCCAAGTCTCACATTATCCCATTTGCTCAAAACAAAAACTTGCAAACTCAAGTCATCATACAAAAGCAAACCATTCCTCAGAATTACACAGTCAAACTGCTCAATTTACACATAACCCTCGGTTAATTTTGGCCTTTCACCGTCTTTATTATCTTCCTCATCAACATCAATTCCATCCCTCTGTTTTTCACCCTTCTCATATTGACCCTTCTCTCCAATCTCCAAACCCTGCAACCCATCACCCCAAGCTTCCCCACCCTCCGGCACCTCCGGTTCCACCATCTTCTCCGTATCGGCCAGACCAGCACCCACCACTCCGGGAACACCTCCACCCTTCTCGGAAACGCAAGAGCCGGAAGGCTCCGTCCCCGGTATGACTCCGACTAACTTATCGGACGATTCTCCAAAAGTGGGCCACGGATCGTTCAAGCAACTATCTTCGGGTTCGTCACCTGACGCTGAAAAAATCGAAGCGGCGTGTGATTTCACGGCCGTGGCGGCTTTGAAAAAGGCCTCTTTGATGGATTCGGGTGGTAGTGCACAGTCTTCGAGGCCGGCGTCTTCGAGACGCGGTGGTCTTATCTTCTCTAACAGCCCCTCTGTTTGTGATGTTGCCTCCATGGCTGATGCTTATGGAAAGCTCCTAACCTTGATGCCTCTGAATCATGAGAGAGAGAGAGAGTTTTATGGGCGAATATGGTCGAATCTGTCGACAAATAAAGGACTGCCCAACCGACTCTGGTCAGATTCTGGGTGGGCTAATCTCAAAGAACCCGAAAGGTTATTTAAATTTTAATCTGTACCTTCAAAATTTAAAAATATTAATTTATATCTTAAAAAATATAAATTTATATCAATTTATTAATACTTGTTAAATACTTTAATTTTGTTATATCGTATCATTTTTGTGTCATGTCATTTTATTCCATGACGTATTATTCTTGTGTTGTGCTTGAATTAAATTAAAAATATTTTTTAACACTATTTTCTTGTTGAATAAATTACATTGTGTCGTATATTTTACATTTATAACAATTTATATAATATTATTTAAAAAAAAATTAAAATATCTATCTTTTGCCTATAATACTTATTAAATAGCTATTATTTATTTAACATTAAACATGATAAAATTGAGCTATTTAATGAGTATTAATGAAAGGAATTTTTTTTTATCATAAATGTGAAATATTTAAACTTTAAAGGTATAATTTATAATTAGTTTAAATTTTTTTAACGGATGTCAATCAGCTCGAGGTGAACATTGAAATGAATTTATATTTTTTAGAGTATAAATTAATATTTTTAAATTTTAAGAGTATAAATTAAAATTTGAATAATCTTTCAAATTACAAGATTAACCTGACTCCCAATGGATGAATTGAATTTTAGTTTGCACCCGAAAAGGTTTAAAAATTATATTTTATATACTCAAAAATAAATATTTTTATATTATACCTTCAATGTATTAAAAATATTACAACGACAATAGAATTTTAATCAAAAGCCGTTGACTCATTGTTACATTTTTGTTTAATGTAGGAGGTAAAACACATCACGTGAAGCTTACCATCCCGCTTGAGTAGTAAAAAAACAGAATTCCTTTGATAGCCTTCATTGATATAACATTATGAATCATGGATATGAACAACAAAGCATTTCTGATTGAATCACATTCAGAAAAACCATAGAATGAAAGGATGAAATACAAACATTCATGTTAAACAATCACAAGAAGATCAATCAAATGGGTTTATGTACTTATATTAATACACATTGCAACTCAACAACCCTCCTGAAGAATAGAATGTTACAATTGCACCAGAATGAATAGGGTGTACCAGTAGCAATTGTATCTGACTGTAATGCCAGAAACAAGGCCACCAAAACACTCTTCTTCTTTTTTTTGAGAGGGGGAGGGGAAGGGAGCCAAAACACTCTTCAACATTCGCATCCTGTAGATCTTTGCTGCCGCCCTCCACCCGCAACATCAATGGTATCAGGAAGATATCTATTCACAATCAACAATCAGAAATTCAGTGCTTTCTGTTAGTACTCCATGAACAAATTCTCATTTCAATTGAATATGACAAGATCCCAACCAAAACATGATGCATATGACAATATAAAACAGCTTATAAAGCTTTGAGTTGAGATCCAGAAATAATTTAACCATCTCTATGAAAACCAAGCAGTGCTCTGACCTCTAACATTACATTAAGGTACTTACACCCAAGTTTTTCATTATGTTCACAGATATGCAATAAAACCTAAATTCTCACTCCTAGGATCCAAGGAGGTATTTTACTGTTTTAGGAAGGATTCAAAGTCATACAGCTCCCTGTAGTGGCCAGACAGAGGAAATGCCTTCACGGTTGCCTGACCCTTTCAAAAGGTATCACAATTTTTTCATTCGGATTGATTTCTCCAATTATGTGGGCTCATTGCCCAGTGCAATGGTAATAAGCTCGAGCTAACAAACAGGTGTGGGTTCGAATCTGATGGCATCCACTTTATGCATAAAATGTAATAGGTTATGTTTGCACCTAGTCTGTCCCTCCTAGTTCCTTCAATTAGTGAAGAGCAAATTGGGTAATGACATTATATAACTTAAATATAAATCAGGCCTATAAAAGCTCCACTAATTAAATAGAACTCCGAAAAGAAATCAGTTCAAAGCCAGGGGTAAAAAATGGAGGTAGAAGTAGAATAGCATTCAAACTCAAACAAATGAACCGAACTGAGATGAGCCAAGCATCAAACGGCTTAAACTCAGAAAAGTTTTTGGGCTTGACTTGCCTCGTGATGAATTTCAAATATCTTGTTCAATCTCAAGTAGTAATTGTTTTTGTCCAAGCTTGGGCACAACTCGACTCGGCTTAGTTTGAATGAACCGAGTTTAAGCTTGTGTCCGAGATTATACTCGAGTGTAGACTTGTATTCGATATCAAGCTTGGTTTGTCCATTCATGTATGTAACTATTTATATATGACATATTATATCTATGTTCATGAGCCGAGCAAGCCGTTGCTCTGCCCGGACTCAACTTGTTTGTTAAACAAGTTTGATACCGAGCTCGGTTCATCGGATGAATGCACAAACTTTAAATAGCTTCTATCCAAGCCGATCCCAAACTAACATTTCTTCGTCTGGTTCGTTCTTGAGAGCATTTTTGGCTATACACTGGAAAGCTGCTTCCACATTAAATCCTTCTTTTGCAGAAGTCTCAAAATAAGGTATGTTTCCCTTGGAAGCACACCATGCCCTAGCTTTCTTCTCAGAGACCTGAACCAAAAGAGAAGCCAATATGTGCACAGAATTAACAGCAAGAACTGCGGCACTTGTATCCCAAAAAACCAACAAGAACTCATTAGTGATAATGGAAGTATGTATGTCACAAGGGAGAGTAACCAACTTACCACCCGACTGTTGCCACCATCAATATCAACCTTGTTTCCCAATACAACAAATGGGAAGTTTTCGGGGTCAGAGGGGCTGGCCTGAAAATTAAAACCATACATTTTACCTCAGTTATTGGTTTGCAAAATTTAACCATCGGAGCAGCCGAGCAGAAAATAATTACCTGGATGAGGAACTCTTCCCGCCAGTTGTTTAGATTATCAAATGATTTCATGACATTCACATCATACACAAGGACACAACAGTCTGCCCCACGGTAAAAAGCCACCCCAAGGCTTTGAAATCTTTCTTGCCCAGCTGTATCCCATATCTGGAAATGAAAGGAGAGGAAAATGTTAGTTTCAAAGAATTAAAAGTGACCCTTACAAGCTAGTTCACATTTTCACCTCCGAAGGAAAACAATTCAACACACATTGCCACTTTCACATATGAAACAACAGAAAATGAATTGAAATTCGGTGGGCATGCTTCCTTCAACTGCACTAAACTACATGTAGTGCAGAAATGGGAAAATAGGCATGAGAAGATCCAATAAAAAGTAGCCTAAATTTAATAAATCTAATCCTGCAGGGAGCATGATATGTATATCTGATAGTTCAGTAAAAAAAATCAGAAGATTAAAGAATACAAAACGCTGCTCAGGATTGACTGATACTGATTCTCTCAATGTCTGTCAAATAACTTCCAAGGTTTCAAATAAGGTGTTCTATTTCCATGAATATATCAGCACTAGCTACACTAAGCTCGTTAGTTGATTCATAGATATATTATCCCAAAGAGAAGAGATGTGCCAGCAAAGGGAATGACAGCACTCATAATTTGAGCCAACTTCCACAAATAACACTTTTCTTGAGTTCCAAAGAACCAAAAATTAGTGTAGCATGTCCCTTACAGTTTGCAATAAAACCACACAAATAGTAATAGAGACTATGATAAGAAATACACAAGCACAAAAGGTAGAATCATGCACTTCTCATATTTGAGGGTGGCAGGAGACGCCACTCAAGATAACAACCATTGGTCACACTTCAAGTCATGGACTAGTGACGAACAGAAAATCTTTTATAGCAGCATATTATGCTGTCTGTGTTTGTTTGTATTATGGCCTTTTCATTCGCTGCCTAAACTACCTAACCAGGACAATCGTCATATCTGTGAATCTGCCAAGCAACGCTCACTCAAACACAATCATCTCCCTACAAAAGTCTGTATCAACCTCAAAACAGCTAGAAGAGAGCCCAACCAGAACAGATGAATCATTGATCCCTCAACCTATTTCAGCTTCTAAATATGATTAGTTATCTTCAAGATGACCACGGAATAAGTCTAACACAAAGTTTTTCCTTTCCGAAAATGTAAGCACACATTAATCTTAAAACACACAGGAGTGGACAAAAGGCACACTGGATCATAGGAAATGATGCTCCGAGTATTAGCTACTATTTGATGGGTAAAGCAATGTACATAAGGTCCACATGTCTTGTAGCGGTGAGACAAGACTTAAGACATAATAGCCCCATAATCAACTCAACAAAATCTAGAGCGACCTATTTTGAATTTGACTAAATGGACCTTCTGCACTTCTTGAAATCCCAAGAATTGATGTTCATAGACATTTGATTAAAAGTTATGTCCTGAATCAACACCTCTGATAACCCTGCTACCTCTACAAAGACTAATTTAAAGCAATACTATGAACACTGACTCAGCAAATTCTGCTGCATTATGTTATTTATAAAAGATCTACTATTGAAAAATGGAAGCTTCCAAAGCAGTTATGCCTTTCAAAACATATACAATAGATAATTGATTAAATTCATTTGTCAAGTTGTAATAGAAAATCAAAGGAAACAAGATAACAGCAGAAAGTTTAAAAAAAATCAATTTAATTAATGAATTGTGAAGTCCGAACCGTCACCTGCAATGTGAACAACCTATCTTCAAACTGAACTTCTTTTGTCAAGAAATCAGCTCCAATTGTCGCCTTGTACTGGTTACTGAACTTACGATTCACATACCTAAACAGCATTAATGAAGAAAAAAAATCACATATTAGATCCCCACATTTTGAAAACTGCTAATTAGAAAAGCTAGGGTCTTGAGCATACTGATTCATCAGAGATGTCTTCCCAACCCTACCAAACACCAAACAAATACAAGTAAGTGAAAAATCCAAACATAGTTAATTCCAAAAAAAACAAATGTAAGTACATTTTTGTTAGCTTTTGAGAAGTATTTTCAGCACGAAAGCAGGAAAAAAAATGCTGTAGTTTTTTCATTCAGAATCAATACAAAAAATGCTGTACCCAAAAATTAAAATCACACTCTGGCTTTAATTTCGAGATCTGGTGTTTGGTTTGTGAGAAAATGTAAGCCAGAAAAGGAACAAAATTTCTAATCAAATAATCCCCAAAACAAAACAATTGAGTCTCTGAAACTAAGACCCAAGCAAAAACATAACATGTTTAACTAGAATTTTTTACTTGCGATTTCTTCAAACCTTCGAGATCGGAGAAATTGATGTGAGAATTGAAAACAAACTTACCCGCTGTCTCCGAGGATTATGACTTTAAGAAGCATACGCCTTCGAGACGCCATAGTATAGATAGATAATCAAAAAAGTTACGAAATACTAATAGACTTCGTATTAGGAATTGAAAGTGTTTCTATGTATAGAGAAAAGACAGAAATTCCTCTAGTTTTTCGGAGAGAGGCCCGATGAAACACAAATTAAAGCACACACGCCACCCAACTGCAAAATTGTCTTGTTAATGTAAGTTCGGACGAAACACAGCGAGGATACGGACCATACGGTTTTAAGATTCTTTCTTATTGCCATAATTACCCTTCTTTAGGGGTAATTTCAAATTACACACGGAAATTTTTTTCCATTTTTGTCACGCCTTAAAGATTAAATTTTTTATATTTAACTTTCAATATATCAAAAATATTACAATATAACTTAATGATGCACAAATTAATTTCGTGCAAGATCAACAGTCGAGTGTGTATAAAAATATAATTAATGAGCAATAATAATATAATTAATAGCACAACAGTAAATAATACTCCGTTTGGTACGATAAATATATGGGAGGATAGAAAGTTGGAAGGAGGAAAAGTTGGAGAGATAAATAAAACATCATGTTTGGTAAGAAAAGAAAGTAGGAAGAATGAAAAAGTGGATGAATTAACTTTCCTTCCAACTCACCAAAATCAATCCCTCCAAAATCGAAAGAAAAGTGGATGAAAAGTTAATTATTTGTGTTGAGGTGTATCTTATTTGTCTATATATCTTATGTATATTTTAATTTCATATAAAAATACAATAGTAAAATATGTATATATTTTAAAAAATTAATTTTTAAAAAATTAAAAAAGTAAAATAATAAAAATTTTAAGTTAAAAAAAATATATTTTTTCTATTTTAACTAAAGGTGAAAATTTTCGACTCAACACGATGGCACAACTCGAATTCGATACGAAAATAAATAGGTCAACTCGCAATTCGACATGATACAATTAGATAAATGAGTTAAGTTAGATTTAATTAATATTCGACACAAACTCATAATGACTCAACACGAATCTGACACGGCAAAACTCGACTCTATTGTCACCCCTAATTTTAGTCAGCTAAAAAAAGGAAGAAAAAAAAATCATTTTTATTTTTCATCCATCCAACCAAACACAAAGGAAGAAAAGTGTATCTCTCCTACTTTCCATTCTCTCTACCAAATAGAGCATAAGAGCAGACACGCCGATTTATAGTGTGGTTCGGTCCGAGTGACCTACTTCACTTTCAAGAAACGACATCGGTGGCTGGAAGTTTTTATTGATCAATTAAGTAACCAAAAAAATATACTCTTGAAAGTATTACAATGTTTTAAGATAGAGAAGCTATATAGGTATGATGAAACAGTGACATGAGGAAGAGGACATTATTTCTTTTCGTAAGTACAATCAAGGCAGGATTGGATATCCATGAATGTGTATCTCGATAGTTTCTTCCACGTGCTCTTATCTCTCGAGATTTTTTGGTTCTTGAACTGAGTTGAACTGATAAAGTGGGCCTGAACCACCTTTTAATTGACTTAGGTGTTCTTGATTTATTGAACTTGACCCGATTAATTTTGGACTTGTCATAACTCTTTTGTTAGTTTTTCATTAATTTTTTCGATTGTTTCAATGAATTAATTTACTTGACCGGAGTAATATTAACCGTCAAAAAACTGGAAGTCGTCAGCGTTACATATGTGTCCACCGTTTGTGAAAGCCCTCCTCTTTTTCCTTTTTCAATATAATGTTTTGGTTCTTTTATTTAACTAAAGTAAATGGTTGGAAGACTTAGTGGTGGGACCTAAAAGAATTGCCATGTCATTCGGGAAGAATAATTTGGGAAGGAAGTCGAGAAGCATAGCATTACGCCAACACAAAAAACTCAAAACATTTTTGGCTGGGAAAGGTGTGTTTCTTGTCTTATAACATTTGGTCTAATGGTACTTTTCTTCTTGTAAAAATTTTATCTTCATGAAGTAAAGATTCAAGTCCCTCTCCCCTTTCTCTTTCCCCTTCCCCCTCCCAAAAAAAAAAATGCGAGGAGGAGAGAGATGAGCAAACATAGAGAGAATGAGAAAAATATTTGTATGAAAGTATTATTATTTCTCTCCCAAATGGGAAATTGATGAATTCATCATATCACCCCTTTAACTAAGATGGAAAAAATATTTTTTTTAATTTTAATTTTAATTTTTTTATTTTTAAAAAACATATTTTTTTATTTTTTTTTACATGAAATTAATATATACATAATATATGTATATATAAAAAGATATATAAACAAATAAGATGCATCTCAACACAAATAATTAACTTTCCATCTACTTTTCTTCCGATATTGGAGAGATTGATTTTGAAGAGTTAAAAAGAAAGTTAATTTATCTATTTGTTCATCTTTCTTATATTCCTTCTTTTTCAAATATGATATTTTATTTATCATCCCCGTTGACATTTATTGTGCGGACCGATTTCTTACCAAAGAGCTCCGTGCATTCTGATTATAGCAGAGACATAAGACCCTAAACCGACAATCTCAAACAGAATGGATATTCTCAACTGAAAGTCTAATATTGCCCTTATTTTTTGTACAATTTAAAAAAAAAAAAATAGGTGCAACACGAGGACTTCATGAGGTTCACTTTTTGTACAATGATCCCTATTCTAATCCTATAAAAAGGAAAGAATTAATTAAGGCTGCACTACATGATCTCTATTCCAATTCATGCTTTTGGGTTGTTTTTTGTGTAGGTATTAGGAAACATTGGATTAGATAAACTCATTCATCTCATTCTTATTTAGCTTGAGAAAAAAATCTAAATCTAAAATTTCATGTAATACTTTGTTTAGATAAAATATTGAATGATGATATAACTATTAAAATTACTAAGTACCTCAAGTTAATCTAATCTATACCAATGATTGGTATTATATCCCAGTTTTCGAGGTAAAAATATATTTTACACAAAGACTCTCCAATCGATGTGTTTTAACTCACTAAATATATGAGTTTATTAAAGAAGACTTTTATGTTATTAAAGGCACTATTCATCTAGGCCTTGGACTATTTATGGTGATAATATTGGGCAAAAAATATGTGTCCAAACATGGGTATAAGTGGGATAAGGTGGGCTCATACATTATTTTATTCAATCCCTCTTTAGTCAATCCCAATATCTAAAGCAAACACACCCTTAGAACATCTCCAACAATACTATTTATTTTAGAGAATATATTTTTTCTAAAATAGAGAGCATATTTAATAAAAAGTTATAATAGGGAGTAAATTTTTAGACATTACTTCAATGGGATTCTCTATTCTTATCATTTTATATTTTGTCATTTTTAACAATAAATTTAGATTCCCTTTTATTTTTCCTCTATTATTTCAAATGAGGTGCGTTTATTCTAAATATCTTAGATGAAAAGATAAATATATCCTCTCTTTTTTTATTCAAAAATAATAGAGTAGAAATTGAGTTTAACTCCCTAAATGTAGAGAGCCAAATTAAAAATTTTATTTTAGAGAGTCTAAATAAAGAGTCCATTAAAAAAAAATTTAAAAATTGACTTTCTATAATAAAAATTGTGTGGGAACAAAGAACCTATTAGAGATACTCTTACTCCTTCCCCCTTTATTTAAAGTACTCCACATCCAAAGAAAACAAACTCATTTATCACCTTTAGGTTTGATATAATTATATGAATAAGTTCTTAATTATTTCAACCGAGTGCATTATTAAAATACTAGTTATTTTTCGTGTCTGAAGACACGGAGTAATAAAAAAAATAGTCAACAATAAACATATTTATATTCACACTTAAAATCAAATTACAGAGATAGATGAGAAATAAAAGAATTTAAGTACTGATTATAGGGGGTGAGAGATGGTAGTGATGGTGGGCAACAGTGGTGATGGTAGGAGATAGTGATAATTGTGATGGATGATGACAACCGATTGTAATGATACCAGTTATAGGTGACAATGGTGATGGTGGGTTGGGGAAAAATGGAGGTGATATGGTAGAGTGATGGTGGGGATAGTAACGGTGATGATAAGGTGGTGGCAACAGTGGTGGTGGGGTTACAATAGTGGAGGTGGTGGGCCGGTGGTGGTGATGGTTATTGTGAAAGAGGTGATAGTGAGGTGACAGTGACAACGACAATGGTAATGGGGCGATGGGTGTAGTAGGGTGGCGACAGTGGTGGTGGGGTGACGGTGGTGGTGATTGTGGTGGGGTGGTGGGGCGATGGGGCTAGTGGTGGTAGAGGTGTTGGTGGAGAGGTTTTCAAACACTTTTTTTTACAATACTTAATGAGAAGTTATAAGTATTAAAAAACACTTTTAAAAAATCATCTCAAACACACCCTTAGGGCCCTATTTTTCATATTAAATTTGAAGTGTTATTATTAACCGTTAGATTAATTTTAAAGTAAAATTTAAAGAGATATCAACCGCGAATAGTAAAAGTTATTTTGTTTATTTTTTGAGATTTAAATTTTATTGTCCTTTATTATATAGATTATCAGTTATTTAAATTTTTAATATTTTTCTGTGGTATCTTAGATACATTTGATTTTAAATTTTATTTTTTGAATTATTATTTTAAAATTTAGTTATTGTTACATTTTGGATTCAAAAGGGTAATATTGTTTACAATGTGTTATTTTACTCTAGAATATGTTATCCTCAAACATTCTTCAATATATAAATATAATTTTTAGTTTAAATGTAATTCTAAAATATATGTTCACCAAACATCCAATGTTTATTGGAACAAACTTTGTGAAGTTTATTTTTAAGATGAATTTTTAGTTTGAGAAATTACGCCAAATATAAAAAAATTATATTAATCCCTACACTAAACTACTGACATTAACCAAACATTAAATATGAGATTTTATGTGAATTGAAGCACGAGTATTTCTTTCTCATTTTCAATTAAGATTATCGTCATTTAAAGGTGACCACATTAATCACAAAAGAAATATGATTATCAGAGGACATCTATAGGTTGAAAATAGGTGCCTTTCATAGCTTATTTTATCTTATTATATATATTATGAATCAGCACGGGGCCAACTTAGTTATATTCTTTTTTATGCCATCATTAATCTCGTGTGTGTGTGTGTGTGTGTATGTAAGATGTGTTAGGCAACGCAACACCGACAAACCAATTCTCCCAAGAAAAGAATATCATATAAAGATTTATATTTCTTTATTAATTCTTACAAAATTATTTTGGAGGAGCTCAAATATGAATGATCAAACAACGCCACCAATAAAATAATATCAATCCAAATAATTCCTAGTAAATTGAATCTCTAAATCATAAATTTCACTCAATTTAATGCTAAACCCAACAATTGAGACTAATTTCAATCCCAAACTCACTTGCCCACCAAACCAAAAACTCGTACCAAAACCAACCAACCATTCCATTCTCCAAAAGTCACCTAAGAACAAACCCAAGTCGTGACTCAAATGGTTTATAAAAATGTATTTTTTTTTGTTTTTGATAGGATATACAATTTTATTTCTTAGACTCTTATTTTTCACATTTAATCAGAGTTATTTATTTAATCCCAAAGAAACAATCATGTAGTATATATAATCTAATTATGAATTACTCTTGTGACTAAGCTTTGCGGCAATTCCATCCTATAGGTGAAAGCATTGGAGAACCTTCCGTTAGCTATGCTATAGATGAAGCTAAAGTGCAATACGTTCCATGAGTATTTCCAGTTTTTATGCGTGGTAAACACAGCTCAGAGAATTTTTACTTGAACTAGCAACCTCAGACACAGTCAGGTCAGTTGTGAAAGACTTGAAAGTCCCATTGGACCAGAATTTGCTGGATTTTGGTTAAGCACTGTAAAGTCCACCAAAACCACCTTGAACTCAGGAAGGGACCATCATAAGGCCTAACATAACTTGGCACAACAGAAAATACCATCATCATATATTTTTATTCTTAGAATGCAGCCAGTTCTTTTGCAGTAGTACTACCTGAAAAACGCAAAAAACTCAGAAAGTTCAAGCTTGGATGCTGTGGCATAACCTTGTGTGCATGACACTGACTACCTTGACTTGCTCAAACACATGCAAAGGACAAGAAGTTGCAATGATAATTGTTGCAGCAGAGTAGAACAATCAAAAGAAGAAATTTTGAATAGTGGTAACTGGCAGGCAGCTTAATGGCATAGCCACTCCCGTCTCGTAAGTAACTACCAAGCAAAATATGCAGAGCAAGTCAAAGTGGAATGAACGAGTCCGAATAAGCAGATTGCTGGTTGAGTAATTAAAAAAATAATGGATTTATGGTTTGCTCATTCAGTACGAACGAAATTCTTTACAATAGACTGTATGCATTGGAGAATGTTTTGAAGGGGTAATGGATCTAGGTAAAATTTAAGCGACCTATCAAGCTGCAAAATCATAAACCTATTCTGAAGAATTTCAATAGTGTTCCCCTTTTCGTACACTTTGCGTAAAAGTCACCCAATTGTCGTAATATAGTTTATTCACCTTGACTGCTCTGAGCCAATCTCTGGAGCAATTTGCAAACCTTCACTGCTTGACCCAGATGGGTGCAAACCAAACTCACTGGTGGGCCCACTGCATTCACTGGAATTGTGCTCCTGGCTTTCTAATGCCAACTTCCTGAATTTTTTCAAGTCCTCTTTGTACTGTGCAGTGTCCAAATCTGAGCTTTCATAAGAACCATAGATCGTGCTGTGCCCAGGTGTAATACCATCTTTTAAATCATCGAGAGACATGTTTCCTTCCAAGGCTTGGATGATCTGCATCAAAAAAAGGTTAAGTAGCAGCATGTAGATTCTTATATTCTAGTTTCAAATCAAGTTAGTTCAAATTGTAGCCAACTCCAGGAATCAAAAGTTGCCTATCTAGAAGGAACACCGGACAGAAGATGTGATTGAACGTAGACATCTCATGGAAACTGAGATGTTGCATTGTTTTGTATAATTGCAAACCTACCCGTAACAATTAATTGGAACCCATAAAAGTCATTGTCACTTAACAATTTTTTATGTCCAGCTTAGTCCTCGTTAATGGGATCTCAGATGATAGACCAGGTAGGTATAGACTAACATTTGGCGTTATTCACAAAAGGTGGCTCCTCTCATAGTCAATCTCAAAATGTCAAGGCTTTTCAGCCGAAATTTTATAAATTAACACATAGGAAAAATTGAAAATTGAGAAACTTCAAGAAATCATAAAACTTTGTAACATAAGATTTGGTGAGAGCTGTAATGGCACCATTGTAGATGATGGAATCATAGGTTCAATGCAATGTAGACCTTAATGAAGCCTTCTAATTTTCATCCGACACCACACTAGCCTTGGCTATATTGAAACCCTAAAGTTCATATTCATGACAGAGCCAGAGCTGTTCAACCCTAAAATTGTTGTTTATATGAATTCATGTAGCAGACCCCAAAAATATTGGAGCAAGGCTTTGTTTAGTTGGGTTAAGTTTAAACGACTTCATTACAGGGAAAAAGGTTAGAAAAAGCAGAAGCAAAAATACCTGGCTCATTCGTGGTCTGCGTCGTGCCAAATGACGCACACAACAAGCAGCACAAGAAACCATTCGCGCAATCTCAGTAGAGTCATAGTTCTTCTGCAACCTTGGATCAGCTATGGTATCAAAATTGCCATCCTCAAGAGCTTGGGTCAGCAAAGGCCTTGCCTAGGATTTTTATCACAAAACATTTTACTTCCAATGCCACTTGTGCTTTGGAATCAATAAACCTCATTTTTGCTGGAATTAGAAATAGGGAAAGAAAGTTGTAATTACCTATGGATTTTAAATGCACACCTAGAACTAAAGAAAGGCCTCCAATCGTGCAAACATATTCTGATACTGAGGCACACCTTATTCCTCAAGAATAGGACCAGACAAGTCAATTATCTAAAATTCAATTCAACCAAGTGGGGCAAGCCCAAATCATCATCAACCTTTTTCCACTAGCTTTTGGCCTTTTGTTTAACACCGAAACACCATCTTAGTTTCTGTCAATCACTTACAGCAACCAACTTTATGAAATTCTTGCAACCCATGGCAAGCCAATTCCATCCTATCCACCCTATGACATTTGTTCAACAATGTAGAACCAAAAATCTACAAGTTTTACATATATAGTTGTCATAATCTAATCACAGGCAGCATTATCTATGTGCTCTAGGGGTTGTACTACATCACAGCCATCTGGCATTGGTGACACAAAAAAGGTCCCTCTCACATTTTACAACAAGTAACAGGTTGCAAAAGTATTATATAAAATCATCTGAACTCAGCAAATGAAACATGCACTGTCTGCCAGCTCAGAACAGCAAGACACAAAAGACTAAAGATGTTAAAAAATCACTGCACGTTTCTATTCAAAATCCTTTATTGAAATAGTCTCATTCCAAATTACCCAAAGACAAGCTAGAAGTGACTATCCAATAACACGTTGAAGCTTGTAACTTTTTTGCAGATTATTTCAAGTATGGAGAAATACAAAACTCACCCAGTCAACAATGTTATCATCGAGATAGAACTGAGCTTTATCAATAGGTCGGCGGCCTGTGATCAACTCTAGAAGCATGACCCCAAAGGAAAAGACATCTGACTTATCAGTCAATTTCCCAGAAAGTGCATACTCTGGAGCTAAATAACTGCAAGTGGTGAGTATACTAGGGAATGAGAAAATTAATCTATCAATTGAAATTTTGCTTATAAGAAAGATAGGATTATTTTTAAGATACAGTCATGCTCGAGAAAAACAAAAACAATAGTTTGTCACTAATAATGTAAGCTCCTTTAACAAGTCAGTTACTTCAAATCTACACACCAAACGAACAGCTCAGCCCCGTCATATTTTCAGCGAACTCATAAGAAGATCATCTTACCCAAAAGTTCCCATTACGCGCGTGGAGATGTGAGTATCAGTATCAGTATAAAACCTAGCAAGTCCAAAATCAGCAACCTGAGTAAAGGATTCATATACATCAATCAGTTTATAATAGTATATCATTAGAGGTGAGTAAACATCACATTGTAAAGAACTATTTTACATTTATAGGGCATTCAACAATGAACTTCTATCTTGATATCCACACATAAACAAATAAATAAAAACAATCTATGGTCTAATTGGAATATAGAGAGCAAAACCCAACTCAGCAACCTAAATAAAGGATTCATATACACCTATTAGTTAGTAACAGTAAAACACTGAAGGTGAGTGACCACAGTCTCGATATCAAAACTTAAGAAATAAATAAAGACAAGGTATGATTCAATTGGAATCTAGAGGCCGTATAAGTGACCTTGAGTATGGAATTTTGGATTGAAGAGAGTGTAGGTGTCCATAGCATTTAGTTCTATTGTAGGCTGTAATTTTTCCCCTTTTTCAATGAAAGAGAAAAACAAAAGCAAATCAGAATAAGCCAACTTTGTCTTTCATGTCACCTGGAGTGGGATTGACATCATTCCATGAGCTCACATCAGGATGGCAGCCAGTAGTTAGATACTCATGTCAACATTGATAAATTTAAATAACCAATTCAAAATATTTTGAGTTAATGGCTTCACAATATAGACATATNGAGCTCACATCAGGATGGCAGCCAGTAGTTAGATACTCATGTCAACATTGATGAATTTAAATAACCAATTCAAAATATTTTGAGTTAATGGCTTCACAATATAGACATATAGAGCGACAATAACTCACAGCATTTATTCATCAATTTTTGCATTCTTGTGATCATTTCTAGTTTATAACTCTTTGGTTTGAGGTGAATCCTTTACCAGGAAGAAAATAAGGAAAAAAACGTGAATCCTATTTCCACATGTAGATATATGACATCAAATGATTTCAAAACAAAATAAAATGATGCCAAGTAAGATTGACATCCCATTTGAAGATTTGATGAGGTCAGTAGGAAGATTAAAATAAGCATCAAAAAGAAAAAATCAGTGGGAAGGAATGGGGAATAAATTTGAAGTTATGAAGTTGAAATGGGTAAAACCACGGAAAATGGTTCTGAAGTTGCTAACTAAAAGCTAAGGATTTTGAGATAGGGTGCTGGAGTTGAATATTTGGTATGATGCACGATATAGAGTTTCAAAGATCANCTGACATCCCATTTGAAGATTTGATGAGGTCAGTAGGAAGATTAAAATAAGCATCAAAAAGAAAAAAGCAGTGGGAAGGAATGGGGAATAAATTTGAAGTTATGAAGTTGAAATGGGTAAAACCACGGAAAATGGTTCTGAAGTTGTTAACTAAAAGCTAAGGATTTTGAAATAGGGTGCTGGAGTTGAATATTTGGTATGATGCACGATATAGAGTTTCAAAGATCAAAAAGTTAGGGTGGTAAAGATCTGCCTAGATAGGAAAGTGTTAAAGTGATGGAAAGGGACATTGATCACATTAATAAACAGAAATATTTTGGAAACTAGCTCAATCTCCTATATGTGTGTGTGTGTCGGTGGGTGGGTGTATGCATGTCCTGCCAGTACCTTTGCCTCAAAATTGTAATCAAGAANTTCAATCTCCTATATGTGTGTGTGTGTGTCAGTGGGTGGGTGTATGCATGTCCTGCCAGTACCTTTGCCTCAAAATTGTAATCAAGAAGGATATTGGCAGCCTTTATATCACGATGTATAATTTTAGGTTGACCTGCAGATAAAATTATGTTCAATGACAAAAATCACTGATGCCACCACACTGAGAGTAAAAATTCACATAATATTGTCGATGGTTAGGGTGAAAAATAGTATGCATTGGAAACTCACAGTCCTCGTGCAAATATGCCAATCCTTTCGCAGAGGCTACGGCGATTTTCATCCTAGTAGCCCAATTTAAAGGAGGTTGCCCCTCTCCTGCAAGGTTACATATTTCTGATAACATTGGACGAATAAATAATAGATGAACATTTGCACCTTGAAACATCAAAAAATTGTATTCCACAATGCACATGGTGCCCAAAAGTTTGAAGATTTGGTTGCCAGAAATTGAGCTTACCAGAACTTAAAGAAAAATAACACCCAGTTTAATGAATCCCTCCAATGGAGATCTAGGAACAAGAAAAGCAACTAAAAAAAGGGAAAACAAACATAAAATACTATGGAAAAAGAGTGACATGAGATTAAGTATCTATGGTAAGTTTTTAACTAACAGTGATATGCCTATTTAGCGGGAGGAGAAAGTCATCTCGTTAACAATTCTTGTGCTCCAAGCACAAGAGTAATTAGCTACCTAGACCCTCTTGCATAATTTTTAGTGTAGAACATCTTCCAGCATGTTGTGGTTAGTAAATAAGATGAGCATTGATAAAGAAAGTAATATAGTTATCGAAGGACTAACCATGTAAATGGAACTCCAGTGTTTTGTTTGGAACAAACTCGTAAACCAACAACCTCTGAGACTCAGAAATGCAGTATCCAACCAGTGAAACAAGGTGTCTGTGATGAACACGGTTAATAAACTCAACCTCAGCCTGAAATTCACGCTCCCCCTGCCCACTTCCAACCTTTAGCTGCTTTATTGCAACCTCCTTCCCATTTGGGAGGACTCCTTTATGAACATAACCAAAACCACCTTCACCAAGTAGATTAGCGTTGGAGAAACTGTCAGTTGCACATGCTAATTCATGATAAGTGAATGAGGTCTTTGATGAAGATGGTTGTGTGAGCGAATTCTCAGAACGCAAGCTGCTGCTCACTGAAGGTGGTGGCGGGGGATTTGGAACACCCAGTGAAGATATCTGAGGATTCCAGGTAATGCCTGGTGGAGGAATAGGTTTTGGCAGCATTCCACCCGCATTAGCTCGTGGGGGAGGAGCATTCTGTTGCCAATGCTCACGCGGACCACCATACGGGTCATCTGGAAAAAGCAACAGATAGAACAAAACTTCTTTAGCAGAAATAAGGCATTCATTGCGACAAGCAGAAGCAGTAAGCAGCAAAAGGACCAGTCAGGAAAAAAAACAAAGCAGCAAAAGGACATTGGTGTGGATGAAATCTAAGATTATCCAAATATATAATATCCTCAATTGAGATCCATGGGTAGGGAAACCTATCAACATCCAAGTGGTGCTTGAGCACAAATTAGATAGCTTTTCAAGTGTTTATCAATTAGTTCATCCAAAATCTTCATGCGCCCTTGTCAGTGATTTAACACACAAATTCATAAGCCTAAAACAAATCTAATCTCACTTGTTGACACCAAAAGATATAAAACAAGTTTTGGCTAACATTTCCATTGCAACTTTTATAATCAGAAGGCATTTCCTAGACTCTGCTATTGATCCCAAATCAGCACCTAGTCCAGAAGTATGACTTATGTCAGCGCAAAATCCAAAGAAGAGTAAATAAAGGTGTGATTCATGCGCTGTGTGTGTGTGTGTTCTTTTCGCACTATTTTTTCTACTTTGGAGGTGGTTATCTCATTTCTCTGGACATCTTTTGTTCATCTAAGATCTCGCCAAGAGTCAATTACAAGGAGAGGAGGTGATGGCACATCAAAACTCCCTCTTACACTAAAAGAGGCGGCTTTCTATAATAGAAGAGAAACCAACTCATATATTTGTTGTGGGGGAAAGGGAGGAGTTGCTTGGACTTCCATGAAATCCAACTAACCCATGCATTCACCCATTCCCCGATTACACACAAATCGTAATGGATCAACACTGAAGTACCCATTACATATTAATGTAATTATACACCAGTACAAGGCAGTTATGCAGAACCCATATTCAAGAAAAGCCCAAAAAAGTATAAGATGAGATCAGAGCTTTTAATTATCAAAGATCCATATTTTAAACCATATATGGCACAATCATAGAGCTCTCACCTTTAGGTCCTTGTTGAGTTATCAAAAGCGAACCCGCCAAAGCAAGGCGTCTCTTCCTCCTTTTATACCAGATGACAAAAATTCCCACACAAACCAGCACAAGTGCCCCACCAATCCCAACTCCAACCCCAAGCGCAACATATCTGGAATCGCTGGACGGTGCCGGGGGAGAAGAAGTTGGCGTGGAACTTCCATTCCCCGCCGGCGGTGAAGACATCACCGGAATTTCAAGAACTGATACAATATTCTCGCCGGAGAAGTAATCTTGAGGGCGAAAAACACTTAACCTGCGAAGCAGGATTCTTACACGGCGACGGCGGAGCAAGTGAGCAGCAGTGACGATAGGAAAAGGAAAGTGAACAACGGGGTCGTTTTACCTTTCTGTGTGCGGAATGAAGTCGTCTTCTCATTTACGGGTCTAATTTTTTCATCCGCATTCAACTTTGTATGTAATTTTTCAAAAAAAAAATAAAAAAATGGGCCACATTAGCATATCAAATTATTAGCGATATCGTGTGATTCAAGTCATTATCTACTAAACTATTATTATATTATACGTATATTAGAGTGTATATATAATAAATATTTGTATATATAAAATGAGTGTGCGTTAAAAAGTACAACGTTTATGTTGAATTTGTAAATTTTAGAGAAAAAAATATGTTATAGGTGTATGAAATTTTTAGAGAAAAATATTCTTTTATAAATTCAAAAATCTAACTATCTTAGTATTATATAGATTGTTGGTGGTTGAATGATAGTGAGTTCAACAATAATAAAATGAATAGGTAGTCTACTATGATCAAATAATCCACAATACACAATGTCTTTATTTTTAAATATAGTAAATAATTGTTAATTATAGAAAATGTACCTGTAGCCAAATAACTGACAATACACAAATATAGTGAATAATTGTTACCTTTTTGTGTACACTTTGTAGAATAATAATCACAATATATAATTTTTTAATATATGATATCGAATCACTTCCTTATCAAGGTGAACTAATATTTGTTGGGTATTTTTGTTTAACACTTCTTCACACCAAAAAAAAAAGGGAGTTACGAATGAAACTTGGAAGTAGAATTATTCTTTCTAGATTTATTTTTAATACATTAGTTGTAACATAGCAATTTGTACATTAAAATTATATACATTAATAGCCCCTTTGATATAGATTTTAGTATTTGAATTGAATGTAATTGCTCATTTTTTATAGATTTGATTCATCTTTATTTTTCTTTGATCGAAGTTATTTAAGGGCCCAAGTGTTATAATTGATTGTTTGGGGATCAAAGAGAAAATTAGTACAAATTATAATTTACCTTTTCTCTTTGACACCTTTTTAAAAATCCAATACATTTTGGATACTACTTAAAAGGGGGACCAATTCTTTCACAAAGCACATGGCAAATGATACAAGTCATTCCACATCACTTGGAGAGGAAAAAAAAAAAAAAAGGTTGTGTATGCGGTTATTCTGCCTTTATTCTAAAGAGGTGTTTTTTTGAGCGAAAACCCAAAGGAATAAAACAGTGAGGGACGATCGAAAACAGAAAACATCTTGATGGTTGAACAGGATGTTACATTTTTCTCTCTTGGTTTCTCTCCATTTCTCTCACTCCCACCCTTAGTTTTGTCTAGCGAGTGGAATGGAAGCCTTATATACACTAAACTACCATTAACTTTTAGTAAATGGGGCTTTTTTAAGTCTGAACTACACTACATACAAACAAGACAACACGTGGAATAATTTCAGGAAAATTGAGGGTGAGCCAAGGAACCCCACTCCCCAAAGTGGGTCTGTCATTGCCTCATTGGTCCCGTTTAAAATCATGTTGGGTGATCTACTAAGAAGAAAAATAGAGAGACAATGGATTGAAGAAATTTCACTCTCAAAGAGTGCCTCCAAGTCAACTTATATACACTAACTGCATCTATTTTGTTTAATCCAATGCCACCCTTTTCCCTTTACCACCTAATCTATGTTGTCCAAACACTATTCACATTAACTCTAAAAAGTAATTCAATTCGTCGTAGGATGAGCTGTAAACTTGAATGTTCTAAATTTTAATATTAACAACTCATTGACGTCAAATCATGAGAGATTTATGCCTTATGAATATCATAATTTTAACGTGAATGATCTGTTTTTGACCAGTCTAAAAAAAAATTAATCAAAATTTACATAAATTGACCTAAACATTCAAGACTATTAAAATACAAAAAAAACACCATCCACATTAGCTGGCCATGCTCAATAATTCGTTGTGGCATGATTAAAGGTATCGTCTTATAATATTCTCAAAGCCACAAAACAAACATGTCAATTCCCAAATACTTATACACACTAATCTTGTGAATTTTGTAGCCACTTTTTTTCATGCGATCTAGAGCCTGCGTGTGGTCGGTCATGGACCATGAGGCTAATCATGTTCTCTCATGTCGTGGGGTTGGTAATGGACCATAAAGGCTAACCATGATCTCTCGTGTCTGGGGACTGTGATTGGAGAAGAGTGTGCAGGAGTAAGTAAGCGTACTAAGAACGGCGTGCACGGCTAGCCTTCTCCAATTTAACAAAAGCTACATTGCATTATTGTCCAGGAGCAAGAGCCAATAGGAACTTACCAATCTCAAAACGTAGTCCCAAATATATGATTATCGCGTGTTTAGAGTTAGTTGAAAACTTCAATATTAGAATTATTCAGAGAATTTTTTTTTTTAATTCATTTGGACACAGATTTATTGAGTTATTTTTTCACCGGTTTGTTAGGTAAAAACAATTTTTATCAGTATTAAAGAAAATATAGAAATTCAAAGAAAAATTGACTTTTTCCGGAATACTTCAAATAATTTTAAGAATTTTTTTAATTTTTAACTTTTTTATTTCATTTTTCAAACTTTTACTTTGCACAAAAAAAAAAACCTAGCTCTAAATGAGCCCTATATCAGCGGAGGCCCCGTGATATATACAAAATTTACACATATTCCCATCCCTCCTTGTCATACTATTTGAAAAGTTAGGATGGTAATACTATATTTTTAAATTAGTGGCCGAATTTTTAAAAAAAAATTAAAAGAGTGGTAGTTGAGTAGTGAAATAGTTATAGGAGATATGTGGTAAAATATAATCGGTTAAAATTATATGTGATAATTAAATAATTAAAATTTTTTAAAAAGAAAAGAAGTGCGGTGATTACCCAATGACATGAAAAGATAATTATTAAAATATGTGAGATATATTTTTACATTCGTTATGTTTTTTATCGAATAATGACCTTAGGCAGCAATGGTGAGATAGTGTCTATGTTACGATAAATATTTTCTCACCAAGGACTATTATTTAATTTATCCTCAATGGGATTGTGGTGACGGAGTCGATCATTTCAAATCAATAATTATGACTTAAACAGAATATTCTACAAATAAATGAAAACTTCAAGATAACGTCATGAGATAGCAAGTTGACCCTAACCACCAATTTTTTTAAGGAAAATACTATATAATCTAAATGAAAATTTAAAAGTTAAAATTCAAATGCATATCATCTTTCGGATGAATATGAAATGAGAGAGTTTTACTGAAAAAATTAATGGGACTCATTCAGTCGAAAGATGATATGTATTTGAATGGTAGTTTTTGGGTTTAATTTAGATCGTGTAGTATTACCTTTTTTTTCAATAGAAAAAACAAAAAAAAAACCAATAGTTCATGTCATACTCGCAGACTCCTGGAAGCGTTACTCTCCCAGAAATTCCAAAGATATTTACAGGACAAAATTAGCGTAAAAATAGTGGAAATGGGTTTGGCTCGAAAGTTTTACAGAACAACGACGACAATGTCTTCAAATGTACACCACTCTCTCTCTTCACCCTCTAAACAACTCACTGTAAAACGCCTATTAAATCCCCAATTCCTAAACCAAACCTACCAGTACTCGGCCGTTGAATATATGGTTAGAGAGAGAGTGAGAGAGCGACCGACTCACATAAATACTTGTGCTCTCTGAAAACCTAACGGTCTTCGCCTTCGAGGAGTTTCGAATTCCAAAACTCAGTTCATTTATTTTATCGATTCTCTTCTTTCTGTTTTGCCCTATTTATTGAATTACATTAATTGATCTCGTTTCATTTTATGTGCGGGAGATTTCTGGATGAAGTGTTTGTTTGATTCCGCGAAAACGAGAATGTGCAGATTTCCTGTGCTTTTTTTGGATGAGAATTGGAGATTGTGGAGAGGAAGTGGTTGAATTGAGATATTGATTTTGTTTTTCTTGTTTATTTTGTATGTGTTTGATGAGATTTTTGGTGTGAGGATTCATCGAGGTCCGAAATGAGCACCGAAAGGCAGGGGGTAACGGTTAGGGACCTCGTCGAGGAAGCTAAGAAGCGGATTGTTTTTCTGATCATATGCGTGGTTGGACTGTCCTATCTCATGTCTTGTAAGTTCTGGATTTGTTTGTGTGGATTGCACAAGTTTGGTAGAGAATTATGATTAGATTTCGTCCTTTAAATTTGTTCTATACCTGGAATTAAGAATATATGTGAATATTTCTGGACGTATGAAATGTGGAAAGATGTCGGTGGCTAAGAAGGTTTTCCTGTTGAATATAGTGATGTTTTATCTGCGTGGAGTCTGTAATAAGGTTAAATGGCTGCTACTTACTTGTGAATTTATAATTCTCTTGTGTGCCCTGGGCTTCTCAGGTGTCAGTCTAGTTAATGTTTGAATGGTGATTAAAATTCTTAGATTCTTTATTCTGATGTTGCTTGATCATATGATTGACACTGTAAAGTCTTGCTCGGGTCATGTAGCACTGAGTTTCCTTGAACTGCTATTGTATGCAAGGGCAATGCTGGATTTTCTATGTAAAAAGTAAGAGATTTGAGGGGGTCACAATTGAAACCAATTAAAGAATTGATATCTCTATCCCAATTCAGTTGTCTATTCATGGATAGAAGGCTGCATCATTTCTGACATATTCTACATTTTGTATTTGTATATGTTTACAGGCTCTTCTTACCTATGTCTTAGCTATTAATGTCTGCAGCACTTTCTAAGATGTAAGGCCACACATTTCGTTATCCTAAGGAAGCTATTAATTTCCGTTGTTGAATCAATGACAATGACCACTCAATTTTCGTTAGAAGAAATAATTTTAAGTCACTCTTACCACACATTCATTGATTCCGTCTAATATCTATATTCTTATCACTTTTAGTTATTTGTGTTCCTTCAAGAAGCATAGTTGCAGAAACTACAAGTGAAACTTTTATATGTGAGCATTCTTCACCACATTCGCAATTTGGAAGGATCATTCTATATGCTGAACATATATTGCAATCAAAAGAGTAGTTGGGAAGGAGCTCTCTCACATGGTGAAGAAGTTGGTTGCACTGACAAACTTTTTATGTATCAATGTTGGTAATAGAATCAACATCTGCAAAGATAGGATCATGCAGTTTGCTCATCTACGACACAGTACCAGCTTAGATTCTTTTGTGAATTTTGTTTTGAATATAGAATCATATTCTCTCACGGAAAGCTTTCCTAGTCAAATAAGGGAAGATATTTTACTGTAAGCTTTAGTGTAAGCATGCACATTGCTCTAATTAGTGATGACTTTCATATGGATCTTTTCTCATATTCAATGGTGCATCCTGATCCTACCTTTTGTCACTACATATAGATATTCTTTTTTGGTCTTGGTTTTGCTTTAATTGCATAAGACCTCTTTCTTTTTCGTTCTTTGGCATAGTTGCCTTGGTGATGAGTGATATATCTATTCTGGTTCCACACTCCAGCCCTACATTAGATTCTAGAATGTGCTATTGTATTGTCAAATGAATGATTATAGTTCCTATCTTTCCATTTTGGAAAGTTGGGCTAGTGGGAAGAATGGAATTCTTAAGGTTTATGTGTATATTTTGTCCACCTCTTGTTTCGTGTTCTTGTTTTAGCTCTGGAAGTATTGTCAAAGGTAGTTTCATGTGAGACCCACATATTATGTGTTCATAAATTCATGACAGAGTCAAGTATGGAAAAATGTCTGGATACGTTCTAGCATCATTATTGATAATACGACAGCTGAAGTATCTACCTTATTGGGTAGAATGCGTTCAGTAGTTCTAATTTTTGCCTGATTAAGCAATTTTTTTTTAAATATCTGGCCGGTTAAGCTTAGCTTTTTTTTTTTTGGTTCTTTTGTCATGATGCGCAACATGCTATCTCTTTCTATTGCAGTAACAAGCTCCTCTGTCTTGGTCAACTTGCCTGCTGCTGCCTTCTTAATAGTCATCCTTCGCTACTTGTCCCTGGATTTTGACATGCGGAGGAAAGTTGCAGCATACCAAAGCAAACCATCCTCAGCAAGTCTTTCTTCTCAGAGGAAACCTCTTGAGGGTCCTAAAGTTGTCATTGACAAGTCTGATTGGAGAAGGAAAGTAAATTCCCCTGTTGTTGAGGATGCAATAGATCAGTTCAGCAGACATTTAATTTCTGAGTGGGTGACAGATCTATGGTACTCTCGCATAACTCCTGATAGACAAGTTCCAGAAGAGCTAGTGCAGATCATTAACGGTGTGCTGGGAGAGGTTTCATGTCACGTGAGAAATATTAATCTTATAGATCTTCTAACAAGGTTCTAGTTGCAGAGATATTGCTACCAACTTTCCTTGAACTTTGAGTTATTTTTGTTTGAAGGTTTCTTTGCAAGGAAATTCATTTGCTTGAGATGCTGCAGGGATATCGTCCATCTTCTTTGTACCCACTTGGAGCTCTTCCGTGCAAGTCAGGCAAAGATTGAGAAGCAGTGGTCGAGATTGCTGACCATAGAACGTCGAGACATGGAATTAAAGTCTGTGCTGGCCACAGATAACAAATTGCACCCTGCATTATTTTCTACTGAATCTGAGCATAAGGTCATCTTGATCTCCTGATAATGTCTAGTCTGCTGTTTAGTGATCTCCTGATAATGCGTAATCTGCAGTTCAGGAATTATTTTAAGGTTGAGGTATTTTTGTGGTTGGTCCATAGTTATGGTAATTTGTCTACTTGCAGGTTCTGCAGCATCTTATGGATGGTCTCATTTCTGTCACATTCAAGCCAGAGGATATGCAGTGCTCTTTATTCCGCTATATTGTCAGGGAGCTTCTTGCTTGTGCTGTAATGCGACCCGTTTTGAACTTAGCTAGCCCAAGGTAATTATTTTTTTGGCCGTGTGTTTGTGGTTTGGACATGTTCAGTTTCTGTTCTTTATTATCTTCAACTTTCATTTCAGGTTCATAAATGAAAGGATTGAATCTCTAGTTATGTCTTCTTTAGACAAGGCTGATAAAGGAGCTACTACATCACATTCCAAACCAAACGGATCTTCTAAAATGTCAACAGATCGCTTTACTCGGTTTTTAGATCCTTCTGCGAAGGGTGTTGAACTTGTGCAGTTAAAGAAGGATCAATCTGAAACTGCTGCTGGGAAACCTGGAACAGACAATGTGAATGGAATGCTTCTTTCAAAGGATCCGTTGCTTTTCATTGATCCTCGATCAACACGTTCTTGGAGTTCTTTGCCCTCAGAATCCCCCAATGGTAATGGAGGTTTACAACAACACCACTCTGGAGGAGAATGGGGGGATATGCTAGATATAATTTCTCGTAGAAAGACTGAAACCCTGGCTCCGGAGCATTTTGAGAATATGTGGACAAAAGGAAGAAACTACAGGAAGAAGGAAGGTGAGTGTCGGTTGACGGATCCAGCTCCACGAAATTCTTCTGCAGGGATATCTAAAACAATGGATCAAACTAGGCACAAGGAAAAATATGGTGCAACTAAAGGTAGTTCCCTTGAGAGTAGCGCTCCTCTTTCTGGATGTAATGTACGTGCTGCAGCAGATAACTTACTACGACATAGTGATCGGAACATATCAAGTTACCCTCCAGTTATTTCAGAAGAAGACGATGATGAACACAACAACATGCATTTAGACGAGGTTGAATCAGGGAGCAGTAGTGGTTATACGACCGAAGATGATGAAAACAGCAGTGTGACAGGTCTTGATTCTCCCGGTGTCAAGGTTTGGGATGGTAAAAATAATAGAAATGTTTCTGTCTCTCACATTCATCATCCACTTGAAATTTCTGAAGGCCGCAAGACAAGAAAGACGCACAAAGGGCATGCCAACTCTCAACATTTAGCCATAACAGAGTCTGGAAGAAAAAGGTCCAGATTAAGCAGTCAGGAGGTGCATGTCTGGCAAGAGATTAGAAGAACAAGCTTTTTATCCGGAGATGGGCAGGATATTTTGAAGTCTTCTAAAGCAAACGTCAAATCTGACACTAGTGATGAGTCTGAAACAGAAATGTTGGGCAGAATTCGCAGTGGAGCAACTGCTTCACCATCTGTTTCTTCTGTGTCTACACCTGAAAGTCATGGTTTGGCTGCTAATCCACCAAAACATTCGTTTTTGGCAGATACTTTTTTAAAGTTAAGATGCGAGGTATTCCACTTGTTGCTTATACTTTCCATTCTTTAGGCATGCTTGATCTCTCTTATATATACTCAAACGTGTAAAGGATGTGAACTCATTTCCTGTTGCAGGTATTAGGTGCCAATATTGTGAAGAGTGGCTCCAAAACATTTGCAGTTTACTCTATATCTGTTACGGATGTAAATAACAATAGTTGGTCTATCAAAAGAAGGTGCTAAATATGTGCCGTGAATTTTCTGGTTTTACCCTTTGTTCCTGTATTCTGTAAACCCCATTCTCCTTTTGTATGCCTTGTGTAACTTTTACAGTATGTCCTACAGACCGAACGTGATCTCTATGTCTGCTTCTTCCAGGTTTCGACATTTTGAGGAGCTGCATCGACGTCTTAAAGAGTTTCCAGAATATAATCTTCATTTGCCACCCAAGCATTTTCTGTCAACTGGTCTAGATGTGCTTCTCATCCAAGAACGTTGTAAATTGCTTGACACATACTTGAAGGTCATGCATCTACTCGTGCTTCTTTCTAGTTATACAAAAAAAAAAAAAATTCTCGAAAATTAGTACTACATTTACTGAGCCACAGGATTGGATGTATAGCCTTTATCCTCCTAATAGTGTTCTTTTCTTTTTAGGATGTCCCACAATGTTTATTCTGAAAACTTTGATCTATTGCTTTTTCACTTCACCATTTTACAGACTGGCATGGGATATTGTTGACAGTTCTCTGGCATGGAATATGGTGGTGTGTAATCTTTGAGTATATTAGTAGGCCAGACAATGGAGTTGATAGTGGAAATTTATGTTGGATTTTGTTATCCTACTCATTTATTGTCATGGTGTAGTCACTTGTTGATTCAACCATAAAGTTTGTTCAGTGATTTCCAGTGGTTGCTTGATATTTTAATTCCTTTTGCTTTCTGAAGTTTTCTGATTTCATTTAGATAATAAAATAGTCCTGCTTTTGCTTAGGTTGGGATGTGACAATAGCACATATTATTTCATGCTTCATGCTTATTTGATGAAGGATCTTGGTCTTGGATATCCTTTTTCTCTTTTAGTAGTCATTATATTGTCTGTGTGTGACACACAAAGGTGGTTATTTATATGTCTATATATTAATATTTATATAACTATATTTTGTTTTCATCTGGTATTAATTAATTCATCTTTGACATTTTTTGTGTTGCTGGTCATCAGAAACTTCTGCAGCTCCCTACTATTTCAGGATCTATTGAAGTTTGGGACTTCCTTAGTGTTGATTCTCAGGTTAGATAAATTCTTACTGTAATTTTTTCTGTTTTTAGGGAGAATTCCTGATTGATATTCTCCATGATGCAGACATATGTTTTCTCAAATTCTTTATCTATCATTGAAACATTGTCAGGTGAATAATGTTTCTGGACAAGTTCTGAAATTTCGTTAATACTTCTTTTTTTGCAATTTTTCCCATCTCACATTGGTATTGGATGCTAGTTGACCTAGATGACACGGGACATGAAAAGAGTGAAGATGCTGGTAATATCATTAGGCCTGCGATTGATCTATTATCCTCGAGGAGAGGGCAAATGAATGCTGAAGGCAAGAAGTCTGCATCACAGATGAAGCATGACTGTGTGGCTGATGTGTCAAGACTGAATAAAAATGGTGCAACTCTTTCTCCACCTAAAAGGATTGCAAAGGAGTACAGAAGACCATTTGAGGATTCTAGTAGTGACTCCGACAATGTGGTGCAAAAGAATATTTTTCCCACCAAAAACTCGGGGAAGACTACAAAAGGAGGTGATAGTGATGATCTACATGGATCACCTGAGTTGCTTATGGATGCTGCTGCTGATCCAGCTCTCCCTAGCGAGGTAGTGTCTGAGATCTATCCTTTTCTTGTTTAACCTGCTGTATTCAACTTTTGCAATAGCTTTATATTAATTCTCTTGACACTTCTATTCCTACATGCAGTGGGTGCCGCCGAATTTAAGTGTCCCCATCTTGGATTTGGTTGACGTCATTTTCCAGCTTCAAGATGGTGGATGGATCAGGTGTCAAACATGTGCAATCATTATATTATGTCCGAAATATCTCTCTGATATGTTAATTTCAAATTCTACCTCGTTCCCAATTCTCAGCAGTCCATCAGATTTTATGCCTATTGCTAACATCAAGTCCATTGTAGGCGTAAGGCTTTTTGGGTGGCCAAACAGGCATTACAGCTGGGAATGGGTGATGCTTTTGATGATTGGTTAATTGAGAAAATCCAGCTTCTGCGTAGGGGATCTGTGGTTGCTTCGGGGATCAGGCGCGTTGAGCAGGTAATCTTGGACACCCTCCTGAACATTAGGATTGTTTTTGGTAAGGGAATATTAGGAATGTTGATTACAGTGCAATATATCTTCTTTTTTTTGTTGAATTCACTGTACAAAGCCAAAGTTCTTGATCCCAAAAGAGAGTAATTGGGTCTCTGATGGTCTTGCCATCATTTTTGCTATTTCTAATTACTGTGTTGTGGCCTTGTCCGTTATGAAGTTAAGCAAATGTATTGATACTTGGATGCAGTTATCGAGATTTAGTGGAGAGATGCCATCATCACATGGCTGCTGCTTGTTAATGTTGTTAGATCAGGCTTTTTTGGCACTCCTAACATTTTTCTCTGTATATTTAACTGTCATGTTTGCATTTTTCCTTATGTTGATTTATCACTTCATCTAGCATTTGACATATCTATTCCATGGATTAGATTATTTAACGGCTCTAAGGTGCATCATAATAGCTCAAAAAGTTGAAATACATCACTTTATTCTGGAAGCAAACGAGCTTTACGAGGAATGAATGCTAATTTGCTTTATGATCTAGTTTTAAAACCTGACTTTTATTTTTGAATTTATCAAGAGCCTAGTTTAACTGATTGATCCATCTATCACTTGTTTTCTGGAACAATGAGAAGATTTATGGTGATTTTACTACAGTATTTAAAGACGTTTTGTAAATGCTTGTCTACATTGCAATCTGATTCCCGCGTGATCATATGTAGATACTTTGGCCTGATGGAATATTCATCACAAAGCATCCAAAGCGACAACGACCAACCCCCTCAGCAAACCCATCCCCCCATAGTTCCGCTCGTGTACTACCTCCACCAACGCCATCTTCAACTAAGATAGAGGATATCCAGAAACTTGATGAGATAACACAAAAGGAAGCTGAAAGGCGTGCGAAATTTGTGTATGAGCTAATGATCGGTAAACATAGTCCTCTGTGTTCATTGTTGTTATTGAGGCAACATCTTGTTATCATGAAATGCCTGCGGCAATCTTGGATATCATGATGAATTTTGATAATTCAATGCAGACAATGCCCCAGCTGCTATTGTCAGTCTTTTTGGTCGTAAGGAGTATGAGCAATGTGCAAAGGATCTGTATTACTTCCTCCAGGTAACTTGGCTGGCTTTTTTTTTTGAGTCCCCAATCCGAAACTCGTGATAAAACAACAATTATCATTGGGACTTGATCAACTGGATTCATATGCAAAATTTACCATGACAGACGCCGACTACAGACAGGCCTAATTCTTGGGTAAGGGAAACCCAATGCATCTGTCTTGTGGTTGTTATGTTGAGAAATTTCAATTGGCAGACGGACAACTGCAATTCCGATAACTGATTTTTTTGGAGCACAATTCTCCTTTTTTCCTGCCTAAATATGCCACTTGGTTTATTATTAGGTCTCTTTATTCATTGACATTTTTTCGTCTGCTTGACACTGGGATCTGTATTACTCATTGGGTTCTTTTCTATCAACATCTTTGCATACTTGAAATATTTTTGTATGGTGACACTGGGATTATTGCGTTTTGGGAAAAAAAACATTACTAATTTGCATATTTTTATGGTTTTTTAACAGCTGCTGTAAATGGTATTGGAGTTATGCAAGACCTGTAACCAAATGACCATATTGGTTTTTCAATTCGCAAATGGCATTCCTTGTGCATCTTATTAATTAGCACTCTTCACATTAGCTGGCTTGGATCTTGAACAACTTGTAACTGTTGGCTGTTGGCTATTTGCTTGTGCAGTCGTCCGTTTGTCTGAAGCAACTAGCTTTTGACCTTCTCGAGCTGCTGCTCTTGTCTGCATTTCCAGAATTGGATGATGTCTTCAGGCGGTTGCACGAGGAAAAAGAAAAGTTTGGAGAGGTCAAACAGGATTAATAAGTTTTCTTTCATAAGGAAATCATTAGAGATGCAGAGTGATTTTTCTTCAACAGGTGATTTTTTTTTTTTTTTTAATTTTTCAATTATCCCGTGTAAAGTCTTGTCAGTCACCCAGACAGGGCACATAGTTTTTCTATAGAAATGTTCCCCTATAGCAGAAAATCCTTGTATTCGATTTGAGAATGAGAAAGCCAAGCTCATGAGGTCAGATATACGGTGCATCTGTGATCAATTTTTCGGTTTGCCATTTCGGGTTGTTTTTTTGGTAAACCTGAGTTGCATACATAACTACAAAAGTAGCTCATATATACTGTTGAACATCTTTTACTTGGTAGTAAATCTATACTAACTCCCCGGACCCCTACATTTCACTATGGCAGGGAAATATATAATTTTTTCCCTCAAGTTGGGAGGTATATATTACCCTACCCTCAACCCCTCCCTATAAACCATATGTATCTTGGTTAAGATTTTTGCTGAAATTGATGGTGACAACCTTTCTTAATAATAATAATCTAGTTAACAGCCCTATCTGAACCCGAATAATTATTCATTTGCCTAATTCTCACCTTTAAGGAGTAGGATGCTCTCTGCTTTGTGTTGGGTGGGGTACATTTGGTTGGGGAAAATTTTAGGGAATGACATAAGCAGTTGTAGCCATGGTGTTACATTACAGCAAATTTAAATCTCAACAAACGGACACACTGTTTGTGTTTATTTATTGAATNTGGTTGGGGAAAATTTTAGGGAATGACATAAGCAGTTGTAGCCATGGTGTTACATTACAGCAAATTTAAATCTCAACAAACGGACACACTGTTTGTGTTTATTTATTGAATAGCATTTATTGACATCAAAGTTATGCCATTTAACAAAGGAAAGTAATCTTGCACCAGAACTTACAACATATTCATTGACCTTTGAACGGATAGCAGAAGTGTTCAAGTAAGCCTCCCCTTCAATTCGTATGCTCAAATTAAGTTCACAACTTCAATCTACNCATATTCATTGACCTTTGAACGGATAGCAGAAGTGTTCAAGTAAGCCTCCCCTTCAATTCGTATGCTCAAATTAAGTTCACAACTTCAATCTACAGTCGGTATATGTCAAGCAAAAAAAAAAATCCACAGCTTGGCTCGTACAAAGCAACCCCAAAAAAAGAATTAGCAGGCAGTCAACACATCAAGCAGTTTTACCCGCAAACATACTAAATTGACAAATTCATTCCCAGACAACAAAAAGAGCATTCCATGAATGAATCATGATAAGATATGCACAAAACATGGCAAGACACACCAAATCTTACAGAGATTGTTCGTATGACCATAAATTATGACTCCCAGGTCAAAATGGCACAACTTTGATGTGAATAATTTACTGATATTGGTTGTGACTCTTACTTAAGTCACAATAGGTAAAACTTAGCCATTGGGTCCGCCCGTCCTAGTTCATTCCACCACAAATATTTCAGGAAAATTAATTAGCTTCATATAACTAAATGCCATTTGAAACTGTGGTAAGCTAAGCCTCAGTATCAACAAGGCTCCCATCCCGCAACACACACCCACAAACAAAAACCTATTCTCCATAAAATCAAAGCAACTACCTATCCCACCCCCCTCCATTTCTGACACATTAATAAAGGTGACTTTCAATTCCCAGGAAAAAATTTAATCCCCAGCTAGCTAGAATAATGGCGGTTTAATTCAAGTCTTCCATCTTCTGGGTCATGTCTTCTTGGCCATATAATAGTTATCCACTCGATTTATCTTGATAATTGATAACCAATCAATCAGCCGACTACAAAATTCCAAGCAGAATCACAATCATTACACCAATATATTGAAACCAACATTATGCATCAAGAAGAACATAGGAATTTCGATTCCTAATGGTCTAATCAATCCATTTTCAAATCTCAGCTCAACTACCTATCAAGCATTGTTAAAGACAGCTAACAATAATAAAAATGGGTGTACACCCTCAAATGATGTTCTAAAATCAACTTGTTCTGATCTTGAAAAACAATAAAATACCAAATGACAATATAAGAAAGTAGTCCTAAAAATCACACCCAAGTACAGGTAGGGCCTGCAGCACCTCAAGCAGAAGCTGCCGCTGCCTTCTTCCTCGGAGCCGCTTCAGTACCTGAGATTTTCGACATAAATAATAACGTTGATTTTATTAACAATAAAACAAAATGGCACACATAAAATAGGAATAGTAAAGCACATACACAAATACATATACACTTTTACCTTCTCTGAAATTGGTCTTGAATCGTCGAGGCACATGGCGAAGATACCTCATGCGACCAGTTCCCGTTGTCTTCCTGCGAATCGCCTTCTGGCTCCAGTTATCTAAAACGTTTTTTTTTTTTGCCGCATAAAGACACCATCAGATCAATAGTAGACTAACCTATACGTATAGACAGAGAGAGAGATATTACATGTCCTCTTGCGGGCAGCAGGGTAGGCACAGGCAGAGCATCGGCTCTTCTGGATGTGAAAGCTGCGACGGCCACACCTAATACAGAGGGTATGAGTCTTGTTCCTCCTCTTACCAAAGCTCCCCGTTCCCTTCCCCTGTTCCAATCACATGTACAATACACAGATCAGCTCTGATATATTAATCCATCTGCACCTCTATAATCGAGGGAGAGAGAATTTACCATTGCTGTGTAGTTGCAGAGAAACCCTAGTTTTCCTGGGCTCCTGGCTGAAGAGATGAATGCGGCGATGAAGGGAAGTTTTATATATACACAGGCAGCAAACGAGGCAACTGTGTAGAGTTTTAGGGTTGGGTTGCTTGAATGTGGGCCTAAATGATGGCTCAATTATTTGGGCTTTGTTGGCCCATATTATCTTGCTAATGGGCCCAATGTCAAACGGATCGGACAGGTATATTCGGTTTCCCACTCCCGCGAAAGCTTCTTCGTTCAAGAGACTGTGTAAAAGCGCGGGAAAATGTTCAAGCGGACAAACCCTTATCGTATGAATGCATAATATTGAATCAATCAAGGAGTTTGAGGAGGTAGCAGTGGAACATAATCGAACCGAACATGGAAGAACAAAGCGAGTTCAAATTCCCAGCATTCCCATACAAACCCTATTCGATTCAGATCGATTTCATGAACGCTCTCTATGATTCTCTCAATAAAGGAGGCATCGCCATGCTCGAAAGCCCCACCGGTATCTCTATCTCTCTCGTTACACACACTCCATTGCTATCTTATAACCATTTTGCCAATTTGCAACTATGCGATTTGCAAAGTTAGAACCCTGTTTCTCTTCTAGTGAATTTCAGAATTTGGCTTCTTGTTGCTACAGGGACTGGGAAAACCCTAAGTATCATTTGCAGTGCTCTGCAATGGCTGGTTGACAGAAAGAGACAACCAAAGTCCGATGCTACAGCTGATTTGTGTTTGAAACCAAAATATGTTGATCAATCTGCTTCAGATGATGAACCTGATTGGATGAGAAGCTTTGTGATGAACAAAGACAATGAAGTATCACCAGAGAAGAAGGTCAAGGAGAAGAAGAAACTAGGGTTTAGATCAAAGAAAAACATTAAGAAAGAAAATCAAGAACGTTTTAGAGACATATTTACTCATACAGAAGAGGAGGAAGACACTGATAACAAAGAGAAGAATAATTTGAAGGAGAAAAATGGGGCAGAGGTATTGGTGGGTGAGGAGTTTTTAGTGGAAGAATATGAGAGTGAGGAGGAAAGCCGTGGGCAACCGAAGAGGAAGGCTGGTGGAGTTTCAATTAGTTCGTCGAGTGATGAGAAAGAGGATGAAGATAGACTCGATGATGAGGAGGAAGAGGCACATTTAAAGATTTATTTTTGTAGCCGGACCCATTCACAGCTATCTCAGTTCATAAAGGAGTTAAGGAAGACTTCACTTGCTAGTGAATTGAAGGTTGTTTTGTTGGGCTCCAGGAAAATGTTCTGCGTCAATGAAGGTACACTGCTAATCTTTTTACTATAGGACTATGGAAGCATGTCTTATGTGTTCGTAGTCAAATATTTTGGGGGTACACAACTATAATGGCAGATTATACTTGTATCATCTTGTGTGTGTTTAATCATATTGTCCCAGGGGTCTTGTTTTCAGAGGTGTTGAAGCTTGGGAACTCCACTCGCATAAATGAGCGATGTTTGGAGCTTCAAAAGAATAAGAAAAGTGGAGTTTCTAAAATGAAGGTATGAATGTTCCATTGCTCCTATTCTGTGATATGAATTCAACGTTTTTTATCAAATTTGTTTTGATGATGCTTTGAAATTGTGGCCCATCTACATTAAAAATGAGATCCACTTTGTAATTCAGATTATTCAATTTCCATAATTCTTGTTGTGGGAGTTATTCTAAGGTAGAAGGGCATTTCTAAATGCTACTTGCAACCTTGGTGAGGTATCTTGCTTCATAGGACAGCAAGACTTTTAATTAAGAATGATCATTATGTCACTTTCATCCACAACTAGACATGTATATGCAATGTGTGTATGTGTGCGCGCGACTGCATGAGCCTCACAGATTGAGAGAGGGAGAGAGAGATGTAGAAGTGGGAAACAGGAACATAATTAGGGAAAACTGGGGACCTAATAACTTCCTCATGCCAGTTGCAAAACTGATGTAAATGGAAATTGTGGTGATATGCCTTGACGAGTGACGTGTTCCTTTACTATGTTGAATAACAAGAGAAAGAGACATTATCTCTTGCTTCCTATATAGTAGTCGAAAATTTTTGGTCTTCCTTAGATCTCTGAATGTAAATCCAGGCTCCTTTTTGAACTTTTGAACGAAATGGTGCCCTATCTGTCATTTTATTTTAATATCAGTACCAATCAAGCAACATAAGATGGCTTCTTATCTGGTGGACATTCGGCCTAACATCTGAACAAGTCTGTCCTGCTATGACGTGACAATTTTTGACTGATGTACCAAAGTTAATTTGCAGGACTTGGGAGCTGGAGGAAGAATACGGCGGACCAAGGCTTCCACTGGTTGTCCGATGCTTAGAAAACATAAACTACAGAGACAGTTTAGGAGTGAAATCTCTCAACAAGAGCCTCTGGATATTGAAGATCTTGTACATCTTGGAAGAAGGATTGAAACGTGCCCTTATTATGGCTCTAGAAGCATGGTTCCCACAGCTGATCTTGTGGTTCTTCCCTATCAATCTCTCCTTTCAAAATCATCTCGTGAATCACTTGGTTTAGATTTAAAGAATAATATTATTATTATAGACGAGGCTCACAATCTAGCTGACTCTCTCATCAGCATGTATGACTCGAAAATTACTTCTTCACAGGTAAATAGTACCCTCACATTTAGAAAATTACTTCTTCACTGGTTATTGAAAGTTTATTGACCACGGTGCTTTTGTGCATGTCTGGTTTGGATGTACATTAATGATGGCTATATAACAAACTAGTAATCCATCTTAAAAGCTAATGAAGAATCAGCTTAGTTGCCGCTTTAAATAAGTTGTTTTTGTTTGTCTTTTGTTTCAGTTGGAGCGAGTGCATTTCCACTTAGAGAGGTACTTTCAACGATTTCGGAATCTCTTAGGACCAGGAAATCGAAGATATATTCAAACTCTGATGGTGCTCACTCGGGCTTTTTTATGGATTTTTTGTAATGAGATCAAGGACTCTTTATGTGATGCTGAAGAATTTTCTGGAGCAAAAAATTCGTTTGATTCTTCCATGACCATCAACGAATTCTTATTTTCACTCAATGTTGATAACATAAACTTGTTTAAACTGTTACTATACATCAAAGAAAGCAACATTATACACAAGGTCAATGCCTGCTCTTTCGTTTGTTGTCTTAATGCTACCAATAACACTTCTTTTTTTCATTGTAATANAACTGTTACTATACATCAAAGAAAGCAACATTATACACAAGGTCAATGCCTGCTCTTTCGTTTGTTGTCTTAATGCTACCAATAACACTTCTTTTTTTCATTGTAATACATTTGTAAGGTTTCTGTAATTGGTTTTTCAGGTCAGTGGGTATGGAGATAGAGCGGCTAGCTTGCAAAAAGATTTAACCTTCAAAGACTCTGTGGAAAGTAGTGAGGAGGGAAGCACTTTATCTGGTTTTCGANTACATTTGTAAGGTTTCTGTAATTGGTTTTTCAGGTCAGTGGGTATGGAGATAGAGTGGCTAGCTTGCAAAAAGATTTAACCTTCAAAGACTCTGTGGAAAGTAGTGAGGAGGGAAGCACTTTATCTGGTTTTCGAGCATTGATTGATATGTTATTGTCACTGACAAATAATGATGGTGATGGACGAATAATAATTTCAAGGACAAGGTCAACCTTCCCGGGGCAACAAGGAGGATACCTGAAATATGTCATGCTCACTGGCGAAAAAATCTTTTCTGAGGTTTGCGAGAAATTTCAGATTTTAACCCCTGAACATTTCTAAACAAGGTTGTCACCGGTAATAAACTTGTGTATTTTTGATAGATTGTAAATCAAGCACATGCTGTCATACTGGCTGGGGGAACTCTACAACCAATAGAGGAAACAAGGGAGCGACTGTTCCCTTGGTTGCCATCAGATCAAATGCTTTTTTTTTCGTGTGGTCATATAGTCCCTCCTGAGAATATTTTACCAGTTGCAGTTTCTCATGGGCCTTCTGGTCAGGCCTTCGATTTCAGCTACAGTTCCAGAAGGTCATCAACCATGGTGAGTATGTTGCATTTTTATTTGATCATTCCACCATGGTAATTTTTTGTGACATTTTAGGCACATTATTAAAAGTTTCTCTATGAGTTAGCACTTGACAAATTCAAGTTATTTACCACGTAACGTAATAATTTGTTCTTTTTTCTGTTCATTCAATTTTTAGTCTAGGAATAGCATTTGTTGTACTTTCTTAAAGACAGGCATGGATTCAACGATTTTTACATTAATTTAAATGTTTCTTCTATAACTTAAAAATGTTTTATAAATGCATTTTTTTTTTCAAAAAATTCTTCCACTACTATAGCCAACTGCATCATGTTGTTGATGCGCTCGAAATGACAGATTGAGGAGCTAGGGCTTTTGCTTTGCAATTTGGTCAGAGTGGTTCCCGAAGGAGTTGTTGTGTTCTTCTCTTCATTCGAGTATGAAGGACATGTCTATGATGCATGGAAGGCCTCAGGTGTTCTTGCGAGGATTATGAAGAAAAAGCGTGTGTTCAGAGAGCCTAGACGAAACACAGATGTGGAAGGTGTCCTCAAGGAATACAAGGATACAATTGATGCATTATCTAGTGCTGATCTAAAAGATAATCAAGTTCCTGACAATGGTGCAATTCTCCTTGCTGTAGTGGGTGGGAAAGTCTCCGAAGGTATTAACTTTAGTGATGGGATGGGTCGATGCATAGTCATGGTTGGACTACCATACCCTAGTCCCTCTGATATTGAGTTGATGGAGAGGGTGAAGCATATTGAGGGGTTTAGTGATACAACTTTAAGTAGAGCCCCCAAGTTTTTAGTCAATGATGAATGTCGCAGTGGGGATGCTCAAGCTGGGTTCAACATTCTAAGAAGTTGCAAGGGCAGAGGGAAAGAGTATTATGAAAATCTTTGCATGAAAGCCGTTAATCAATCAATTGGTGAGTGCTTATCTACACCTGAGCATCTATGAAACAAAAAAAAAAAACCACCTATGAATTGGATAGATGCACAAACGAGAACTCGGCACTCTACATCTTAGTGTTCTAGTAAAAGATGATGGTGGTTGGATTGATCACGTATTGACACCGGTTTAGTCGTGGAGTGCAATTTGTAGGTAATGCAACTAGTCCACCAAACCTCGTTGGGGGGAGGGGGGTTTCATATTGCATTTGCACATGGGTGGCCATTCATTTTTGCTTTAGCATCTCACTAGGTCCTAGTCTTGTCTTCTCCAGGTAGAGCGATCCGACATGTGAATGATTATGCGGCCATCCTGTTGGTTGATGCACGCTATGCATCAGATTCCTCAAAAGGAAGCTTTTCTCAACCAACGAACAAGCTACCAAAGTGGATTCAAAGCCGTCTTATTTCTAAAACAGGTAACTATGGAGAAGTCCACAGGTTACTGCATCAGTTCTTCAAATTCAACAAAAATAGAGGGGTTCAGTAGAGCATTTTACTTAGTTTATATAAGCAGAAAAGAAACAACATTGTGTTAGATACGAATTCATAAATGTATTTAGCAACAAAGTGGGTATTTATTACATACCCAATAGTCTGATTGGAGTTGTTGCCAGGAAGATAGCAGGGGGCAGAAGCGATATATCTGTGGTCATTTTTGCGGTTTAAATTTCAGAAAGGTCTAAGTCATAATAGAACAATTTACAGTTACATCAAGTCCTGACCTCATCTATTTTATTCTACTCTTTTAAAAACAAAGAGGACGCAGAAAAGGTGACAGAGGTTAACATTTTAGCTGTAGGAAAGTGACTTCAGTGCACAGATATTGACCCGCTCCTTATCCTAAAGTTCAATTTGTCTGGTCCCACATCCTTGTTTTCAACCAACACTGGTACCGACCCTCTTCAAAGATGGGGACCCATACAGCTATCCCATATAAATGCAATGAGAATCTTTCCATAATTCCTGCAGTACGGGAGATTTTAATTAAAGACAAACTTCGCATTTGGACTAACAATGTAGCATAATGAGATGATGGAGCCTCTTATTGCAGAAAGACTTTACATTAATTTCGGATTTGAATTTCTTTTAATATATTTTTTCTTGATTTTTTTTTCATGTGAAATCAACCATCGTGAATTCCTGTAGAACTAAGTCTCTAAAAAAATCATTAAGAGAATTGAGATAAATAATATTGGAGAGATCAAATTCCGTTCATCTAATCCCTCATTGTATGACCCACAGGTCAAAAAATGGCTAAAAAGCAAATAATTAGTGGTTGAGCGCATGGTATTACCACAGTAAGCTTGTACCCACCCACTACAGTAAGCTTGTACCCACCCACTAGGCCTTTAACTTTTCCTCTTAATCAATGCCACTTTACTTTCAACGACGGGTAGTCTAAAGATGAGATGTCCATAATCATTGATCTCTCCCATTCCTTTCTCTCATTCTACTTCTAATACTCTTTTCTCAAGAAACAGGGGCTCTATGATTACTGGTGCCCAGGCCCTCTGATTATCTGATCATCTAATCCAATGGCCACACCCTAGAGAGAGAAAAGAAAAAAAAGGGGGGGGCGGGGGGAGAGCACAAAAAGATACGAGGGTAAACACCAAAAGGATGGAAGTAGAAGCAAAAACAGAAGACATTGTCCCCTAGAATTTGATAGCCTTTTTTCTCCAGGTAACTGGAAGAAACAGAACTCTCTCTGCCATATCTGGCATCAGAGAGAGAGAGATGAACAAGCCATACAAAACAACATTAAAGCCACAAATGTTGATCAAGAAAACAATGGACAAGACTAAGAACTTCGTTCACAAAGCCCTACAAAACCTCAAGTCCTTTCTGTTTGGAGGCTCTCAAAAGCTACTCAGATCCCATCCCCTTAACCCCCTCTTTGGTTGCAACAACAGCTCAAAAATGCAGGAGTTGAACAATTTCTATAGAGAATTTTCTGCGCAGTGGGAGGCAGATCCTGATGAGGCGATGAAAAGAAACAAGATGACACGGGTTGAAGATGCATCTAGCGGAAGCTTCAAGAATAATGCAGAGCTGAGTGTTGTGAAGAAAACACAAGAGAGAGGAAAGGAAGAGAAAACAGGTGGATACCATGAAGAACAGAGAAGAGAGCCTTGTTCTCCGAGTGCCAATGGAGGGGGTCATGTTTTAGCACAGAAAATGAAAGAACTGGAGAAGATGGATGTGGATGATGTAGATCATGCACTGGACATAGAAGAGGTGCTCCACTATTATTCTCGCCTTACCTCTCCCATTTACCTCGACATTGTTGACAACTTTTTCGAGGACATGCATTCTGAATTCTTCCTTCCTCAGCCCTCTGCCAGTGTCAACAATTCAATGCGGAGCCTTGGCCCTGTAAAGATCTAGAAACTGCAGTCAATTATTTCTCCTCTCTGCATGTAAATCTTGTCTCTTGCTTCCTTTCCTCCCTTTTGTATGTGTGAGCCTGCGTGTACTTGCTGTGATTTTCAAGTCTGCCAACCTCTACCTGTGTTTGCCAATTGCTATGATGTCTTCTTACCTATAGATTCAATACTTATAGTAGTCTTTGATATATAATTGTCACTGCCTAGTTGCTATTACCATTTCACTAAAGTTATAACTTCCTGGCCATACGCAGAAAATTCTCAGCAACTCAATTAACTTTCACAGGAGATGTGAATTCACTTGATGTATACAAGAAAATTTGGGTTCAAGTTTTCTTGTAAAAGGTATCTAGATTTGCTTAAGATTACACACAAGAGTTCCCATTTTCAGTCTTGATTGCAGATATAAAAACATGTGCATCCAATATTTTCAAAATTCTTAGAGGAAAGTGGATTTAATATATCCAACAATGTTACTTTCCTTTCATATAGTTTCTTCATTTCTGTTAAGTGTAATTCTTCTTCACACATACTCAGAACCAGAGGGCAATAATCACATAGAAAAATTCCACTTCCAAACAACTTCTGTTATGGCATGAGGGAAATGGTGGCACAAATGATGAATCAATTAATAAACTTGGTATTTATCAAGTACAAGAAGCATAATTGTCTGTATTTAACCTGGTATTTGCAAGTACAACAAGCTAATAACAAAGTCATATTAAGTACTGAAATTGTGAAACATGTCAGAATACTAAAGAGCTAGCAAGAATAGCACATGACTATGCAAGGCAATGTGAATAAGCACAAAAAACACCTTGAGAGGCTGAACAAGAGGTGCGTTTACCAGCTCTGTCAGACCACTTTTTGACAGCAGAGCCGAACCTGACCACTTGGTGCAGTCAATACTTGGAGATTAAAGCTTCATCATTGCAAGGGCAAAATCTAGTTGGAACAACGAAACATCTGAAGCATGTGCTCTAATCCATGTCTCAGTTTCCACCCCCTGCCGTTAGCTGCTGATCAACATAAAGTATTCCCTACCCTGCATAAGGCTGCAGTAGCATAGTGTACCAAAACCTGATCTTGGTCCCTCATAGTCTGTCTTCATTCCTGTCTCCAGCGATAAAGAAAAAGGTCAACTATCGATAGCTGGTGATGGTGTTGTTGACGACGATGATAATGGTGATAATGAGACATGGTTGTTGCATCTTGATCTCACGAGGTTCAGGAACTCAGTATCCTTAGGTGGGTCAGGCTCATCAGTCCCGACAAAGTTATAGAGCTGATTGAGGAAGAATTTGCAGTGAATCATTCCAGTGCTGTGGGCACCTGTGCAACAATGACACCATGCCAATTCCATTGCTAAGGCTAGAGCTTCTTCAGTAACAAGTAAGAGAAATATATGCTGACAAAACCTAATAGCGACTCCATCATCTATCAAACAAACTCATCTAGACTCTCAAGTGACAGGAAAAAAAAGACAATCAGTATATATGAACCCAGAAATGAGGGACTTACATTGACAAGAATAGGAAAGAGAAGGAACTCGTCTAAATGTCATTTTTGTTGGAACACAACTAAACTCGTCTTAACCAACTAGTCTAGTATTTCATGCGAATGTAGTGCCTTTCCATAAGTCTTTTGTAGTAGAAATCCTTTTTTCATCTTAAATCATAAGAAATTAAGAATGTTGGTGTTCAATTTCATTAGAATTCAGAAACCAAAGACGCCAATTTAAGATAATAACAGCATACATTACGCAGCATCAAGGCCAGAAATTTGGAATTGCAACATATGCGAGAAATAAGCTGAGAGCTCCAACCAATTAGTCAGAATGAGATTATGAGAAAGCCATATAAGTTGTTCAACACACAGTAGATTATAGGACTGAGAACCATAAATTCTCTTTTCAGTGAGGAAACAAGGGAGACGAATAGAGAAAAGGGAAAGAAATGTGTGTGTGTGTGAGAGAGAGAGAGAGAGAGATACCAGAAGAACACTTTCTCTAGCAGCAAAAACAACAACATGAGCACAAGAAACTACTCCGGGGTGTGCTTCTTCAAGCTCCGACTTGATGACATCAATCAGATCGACAAAACCCTTTAAGGATTCCTTCGGAGGAGACTCGTTCTCACTGTCAATTCCATCAGTGGCATCCAATAAAACTGAAGGATCACAACCCTGTACCAAGAGTGAATACAAAGCTAGCACAAATTGCAACAGAGACCATAAACCCAACGCAATTTCACAAGAACGTGGATCAAAATTCCAAGCAACTAACAAAACCGAAATTCCAATCCACAAGGACAAGGAGTTCAGAACTATAATTAACATAAAAAATATTTGACAAGAAACATAAATCACACAACGAAAATTATTGCAGAGAACTACTAAAAAACCGAATACAAAAGAAACACAAATAGCTATCCAATACATATATCAATCACAAACTCTGCAAGAATAATGATCCAATACCAGCTAAAAACCACAAAACTGCCATCAGATTGTGAACCGAACAATAAATCCCATATCATAATAATCAACAAGCAACAAGAAATCACCTCCACAAAGCAATCATGGAAAACCAACCGCAATAATGCAGAACAAGCATGGACCTTCAGTTTGTAGAGTTCTTAAACCGTTGATCTGATGGTTTGCTCTGCTTGTGGGCACGATTCATTCTAGTGATCGTATCTCCGAGATCTGGGATCATCAGCTTCTTCGATCTTCTCCTCCAACTTGGTTGACAAGAACAACGGCCAAGATTGTGATGGAGCAGCAAAAATCCCGGCTTGTGAACCCTTATCGGTTTCGACATTTTGGTTCTTCAGAGAGATGAGAACGCACAGTAGAAACACAAGAAAGCTAAGTGTCCTGGTAAAACCCATCTCTAGCAGTTCACTGGTTGGAATCAAACCCTTCTCTACCTCTCCCTCTTTCTTTTTGCGTGGTTGTGAAGCGGGAGCTTTTTGAAGGGTATGAAAGAGCGGGAAAAAGAGATGTTCGAAATGACGAGAATGCCCTTGAAACAGAGTTTGATAAGTGTGGTTGGTCTTCTCAGGAGTTTAGCGTGTCATGTCAACATTGTATTGTGGTTAAATCTAATAACACTAAAATTTAACTTATATTGCATCTAAATTATAAAGTCGTGTTTTACAAATGCATGAGAATTATTAACATTTTCAAAAACAGAGGTAAAGCCATTTATTACTTGTCTCTTTTAAAACCATCTAAAAGATAGATTTTTGAGTTCGTTTGATTGTCGTATTAAAAATAGATGAATTAAATAAATTAATACAATGTAATATAATATTAGAATAATACGTAATTTTATCTAGTATTTGACAATACACAATAAAAGTGTTGGATAATAATTATTTAATTCAATCGGTTATTTGATTAGAGAATTATTTCATCGTATTAATGTTGAATTAGCAAAAAATACCCTCAATCAGTGTTTGTTACATTGATGACAACTTGAATTTATCACTTGGGAGGTTATAATAGTAAATGTGTAGAATAATACGTTTGAATTGGATTATAATACCACATCTTTTAGTGATATTAAAAAACCTCTGTAATATAAGTTCATCGTATAAAAAATATACAACAAATATATAATAAGTATACGTTTTTAAAATTAATATAGTATCAAATTTGTTTACCAAATAAAGTATTTGGTTAGATTAAATGAAAAATAGTACAATCTAATATTCAATCCCCTCATAATACGTTTACAAACAAGTCCTTTATGTACTTAATATCATTTTGTATGTGAGATTTGGGCTATAGTAACAAAAAATAAAATTTTAGTATTATATCAAAATTTATTATATTTATGGGTATTTTTATTATTATTGTAGATGTTTTTATCACTATTATAGTACAAAAAAAAGTAATAAAACTAATTACCACAATAATAATAAAAACACTCACAACAACGATAAAAAAAACTCATATAAGTGATAAATTACCCATAAATGTAATAAACTTTTTTGTACTAAAAAAATGATAAAAATAGTGATAAATATACCTACAAAAGGGACAAATCAATCACAAAAGTGATAAAATTTTTGATTATAAAATGACCCACAAAAATTATACAGATACCATTTGAAGTAATAAATTTTGAAAGTATGGTATCAAAATTTTTTTGCGGGTATGGTACCATGGTCTAATCCAATAGTCGGGAATGAGATGTAAATAAAAGTTGGGAAGCTCAATGCGGTTAAGAAATCAAATTCAATAGTTACAACTGTGAAGGGCATCTCTCCATCCAAAAATAAAATCAATTCATCATCAAATTACAAGGCAGAACAGCTTTACAGGCATGCCAAATAGCATGTAAATCATTGTTTTTTTTTCCTAAATAAATCCGGCAAAAAATTATGTAAGACTGGAAATACAGCAGATTATGGATGGGCCCTCAAGAAAGAATATTATAGTCCCGGAAACCTGGAAGAGAACAGTGATCAAGAAATCGTCCTGGGCATTGCCGCGACTCCAAATTTCTCGTTGCCAGTTGAGTATGATTTGAATAAAACAATGCTTCATTGACAAAACCAACCATTGTGTTCATCAGCAACTCCTATAGCAAAAAAATACCCATTACTGAGGATGTTCACCCTACGGATACGAAATATAATCTTCCGACTTCCTACCCGATACTTTATGAATAAAAATTTTCTTGACCTATCATACTTAATCAAATGTGATGTTTCTACCTGACTTTCAGCCAAATTAATTGGATAGAAAGTCGAATGAACGCTTTTGTAATAATTAATTTTTGGATTATTTTAACAATTCAATTAAATAACATGCACCAATTTAACAACACAATAAACATTTTTTTTGATCCAAACAACACAATAAACTAATAATACTAAAACTTAAAACAATTACAAGAAAACATAAACATCAATCCATCATAATTGTTATACAAATATAATAATAATTATAAATTAATGCGAGTAGGGTAAGATAAGATAAGAATACGAAAATTAATGATTATTCCGCATTCCTACCTGATTTAATTGAAAAACCAAAAATTCTTCTATTTTTCTACCCGATTTTTTTGACTAGCCATTCAATAGAGTCGAATAAGCATAAAATTATGGCTAATCGGAAATTTGAACACCCTGCCCATTACTTACATCGGACTTCCATACGCACTTTTCCATACACAACTCAACGACCAGAAGCAGAAACTAGAACGTTATGCTCCTTTAGACGACTTTGAAAACGAGTCAGGCAGTTTTGTAGTAGTAGGATGCTTTTTGCCTTCAGGGATAGGATTGTGTTCAATCTAGAGACATAATCATCCAGTTGATTTCCTGGTTGATCTGCCTCAAACAACAGGTCCATCTCCTGCGAGCATTAAAAGATAGGTGAAGTGTTTGACCAACATATACAAACCCCCACAAACATCCTATATCTCTCGTACAAGTGATATGGCATGCAAACTTATGGTCACTGCTCAACTAGAAGTGTATAGATTGAAATCCACATGCTGAAAACATTTATCGATGAAATGGATGCAAACATAAGTTTTCAAAAGGCTGCCCCCATCCTCGATAACATCCTTATTAATCTTATATTTTCTCGAATGTGATGGTTCATTCGAAATATTAATATCCTCAGTCAGCTTGCCTGCACGGAGCAAGAAAAATAATCAAAATAATCAGCGAAATTCAGATTACCACAGACCTGTCCCACAATATCCATCATCTCCTCCACTTCTTTCCGGTGAGCATTCACAAGATCTTCCTCTTCCTGAGATATGCAAGACAAGTTAGAGGACTCAAAAGATTGAGCATTAATTAGTAAATAGCTCAAGACTAATCTATCATTCTCACCTTTAACAGGGCATTCAAATCATCATCAGAGTGTGAATGTTTTGAAACAAATTTTTTAGGGTCCTTCCATTTTGTCTGGCCATTGTCTCTTTTCATTTTACCATCCATATTTGCGAGACTATATGCTTCAAGTTTTCCATTTTTCCATGATCGATTCTCTTGCGCATAGAACTCTTCTGATGCATCATATTCCTCTCTATCAGTTTGTTCAGGCCATGAATCAGCTATGTCATCTTCAAAAGTTGATGCAGGTGGTAAAACCGAAGATAAGGGTAATGTTGTTGATTCCTTCAAGATGTCTTTTTTGGAGTTGTTCCCTTTAGAAAGGCTCTTCACCCTAAAGGTTGTACAAACATAGTCATTTAAAATTGAAAAAAAGGGGAAAGAAAAGAGGAGGACGGGCTTGCCAGGAATTTTATCATGTAAAAGGATCATGATTACCTGTCAGCATATCTTAATGTGTTAAGAGTATGTTCACATGATCCTGAACTTGGGGAAATGCAAGATATCATAACAGTCCGTGAATCTCCAACAAATGAATCCCTCAGAACTTCAGTTAATTTACTGCCTCTGAAAGGGATATGACCCTGGTCATTGTCAAGAGCTCGTATGCATTCCTTTAAAGCAAGCAAGCTTTTATTGATCTCAGCACCTTCCATTCTGCATTAGATATTTAGAACTGCCAAATAAGAAAATATCCAAAAGCCAAATACATGTGCCGATATCGTACAGACGTCCTATCACCAAAAAGCATGTTAGGGAATGGTGCAGATGAAATGCACATGAACTTAATCTACCTCTTTGAGCATTCTCTCAACGTGGCTTTAATATACACCGATCTATGGAAAAAAAGACGGCCCAAGGGAAGATAACAAAGAATAATCAAAAAATGAATGGGCTTATGAATCCATCAAGGCAAAGAAGTTGGAAGATTACAAGATTATAAACTAGCTGCTTCACTTCATTGACTCCAATTTTCTTGATAAAACAGTTAGTAATAAGTAGTTATTGAATTTATTCTCTCCAAATGATTTGTTGAATTTCTTCAAATCACGACTGGAGCTTATCCTTTTGATAGTTTGACAGTAAAACGAGGCTGAAAATCACACATTACATCTTAAAATCAGGTACTAGATTCTTCTTTTATTGTTTTCATATATATGATCCACCAGATTTGCCAAAAAAAGTGTCTAGTTCTCAATCCCATAAAGGGATGAAAGCATAGCGAGATTCACTCAAAGGTTTTTGGCCAAAGAATATTCCAAATTATCTAGGTCAGGGTTTCTAGTCCTCAAGCCTATAAAGAGATGACATTAAAGCGAGATCCACTCAGATTTTTGGCCAAATTCTATTCCAAATTATCAAGGCCAGATGGCCCAGATCCAACTTCCCAACATGTCAACTGCTTAGTCAATTTGATCTTTGGAAATCATCCTGATCAATCTGGTTTTAGAAAATCTTATACTAAGACTATATAAGAGAGTTTTCCTCAAGAAAACTTTGGGGGAAGCAAATGAAAAGATCTGTACCTTGTCTGCTTATTGGTGTCTGTAGTATCTGCACCGCGTTCACTTCCAGCAAGGTCTATGAAGGAGAGTTTGCCAACAACTCGAGGCTTAGATACACTACCATCAGCTAACCTCTTAATAACAAGCTGAAGTATGGCATGTGATCGGGAGGATTCCTCATTTGCACCAGTCGTGCCTATACTTCTTGTAGCATTTCCTTTCTCAATAAACTCTTCAATTGTGTCCACCTCAGATACTCTGTACTCCTGCAAACCCACAATGCAAACTTGCTGTTTACCATCCTCTCTCATGCAAAGTTTTCTGCACAGGAAAAGATCCATTTGTTATGAAAGTCTAAAGCATGCAATGATGCAAGAGCCAATCAGAATTCCAGGAAGGTACATGGTGGACAACATACGTCCGCTCGTTGAGGAGATCAAAGAGTTTTCCTCCATATATCTCAAAGAAGCTGACAAATAATTGAAAGCCTTGGTTCCGGTAAGTATGGTGCATAAGTCTCAAAATATCCCGTGATGCTTTAAGGGGTAGTGGTTTCATAGTGTAAGTTTTTCCACTCCCTAAACAAATAAGCAAACAAAAGGTGAAAGCTTATTCATAAAAGGAAACAATAAGGGATCCAATAATTCAACACCAAATGAGCACAAGATCTGTTAAAACCTGACTGGCATATACAGGAAAGAGAAAGCATTCTTAAATTTTCCTCAACTTCTAAATTTTTTGCTTGCTCATTATAGACTAGCCAAGAAAAGGGTATAGAATTCACAAGAATCTATTGAGCGAATCCATCAAATAACAATAAAATGAACCATATATGTCTTCCAAAGTAAATCAACCATCTAACCAAATGGCACTTGACTTGAAGCCATTGCAAGAAGAGAAAGCTAAAATTATAACAAGCATATGAATCATACAGCATCGAAACTGAACAGTTTGGAGACTGACCAACACTAACAAAGCATGCAACGAATAAAATCAACAAAAATAGTGGCCCATATAAGCAGCTAATAATCCCCCAATCTGTGCATTAAGGAAAGTTTACAAATCACAGAAATCCATTTAATTCTATTTGCATAAATAAAACTATAGGTAGTCTTGTTCCTTACTTCCTCGGTAGACTTCCACGTAAAAGGTTGTTCAGTAGTACATTTAATGAAATAAGTAGAGATGCATACTCTATTGGTTTTAAAACAATAAATCTATAGCACGATAAGGCTTAACGATGAACAAAGCACCTTTGAATTGTGCAATAGCAGGTTTTCAAGATTAGAAGTTTGAATGAAAAATGTTACCTGTTTGCCCATATGCAAAGCAAGTTGCCTTGGTGCGTTGAAAAATAATTGGAACTATGGGCTCCACAGTTTCACGATATACCTATGGAAACCAAAATGAGTTACTAGATTAACTTATGGTCAATAAGATTGCTTCCATCTGGAGGTCCATTAGTACTCCATATTTTTAATTTCATCTCAAACATGGTGTGTCATATACTGACCTCATCATTTGAAACCTCCTCATTCAGCACAGCATCAAAAACAAATTCATGCTTCTCCACATACTCTGTTAGATCAACCTGAAAGAGATTGGGCATAAGTTTTTCAACATACATGAAGTTTGAATATTATTACAGACAATAATAGGTTTGATATGAGAATATCAAGAAATGCAAAAGATGATTGCTAATCTGGTATTTATACAACAAGACACTTAAAAGGATTTGATCCATGATAAAAATAAAGGATTTTCCTGTACCAACATGGACTGATGTTCTGAATTAATCAAGCTCTGTATGCCTTCTTTTTATCATAAAGGAAATAAAAGAATGTCACACGAATTTTTGGGGAAAAAGGGTCACATTCCACATGTTTTTCTTCAGCAAAATACAAACATAACACTCATTAAGGGCAAAAGATATTTGCAGTACAAGCGATGCAATTTTCTTGTTGACTATAGTTTTCTCTCAAGATCAGTGCTTTTTTTAAAACTTGAGAATCAGAATGAACTTCTTGAAAAATGACAAAGAGAAGAAAAGGTACTTCATAACAAGTATGGCCACAGTAGAGTTTCCAAGCAAACAAGATAGTTTTTAGAATGAGTAAAGCAGAAAACTAATAGTTCATAATGCTGAAATTTGATTTCAAATGTTCATAGGTGATCAATAATGGAAATCAAAACTGTTCACATATGGAGAATGTAGCTCACTGTCAATGCTAGGATGAAAACCCAAAAGCATTAGAGCCGAAAGGAAAGAACCATGGTTATCAAAATCTCGATCTGGATTATAGGATCGATCCAGTACAGAGAAATCAATCTGAGTCTCTTGCAGAAACCCTAATTCATAGAATTTTAATGGATCATGATCCAGATCTTATAGGATCATTGAATCCCGATCCGAATTGCGTTTTAACGATGCAAGTTATTGGCTTTGTTTGTTAGGCACATTTCATTATTGGACCGACCTAATGAAGGGTGAGAAAAGCTAATATTACAAAATGCTATCTTAATTTGTTTGTCTCTCTCATTAAAAATAATGATTACATTTGATCTCCTCTCTAAATGAGTGATTATAGCCACATAGTCTTTCATTTTCATTCGCTACTGTTTTTTTTTGGTTTGGATGTTAAATAGTCAAAGTTGTTTATTTAACCGTCTTTCTCAAATTTTCTTTCTTTCCTCAATTTACATCTCTCTCCAAATTTAAAATCAAAATACTTCAATTTTTCTATTACTATTCAAAAATACCACAAAATGTCAAAATCAATTGCCCACTTTGATTCCCAACCTTTTTTAATGCTCAGATTTTAATTTTGCAAATTTTAAGCATATCTCTAAATTTTATGTTTTTTATAATATTTCTATTGTATATAATATATACTAGACTTTTTTAATTATTATTTTTAAAAATTCTTGTTACATATATTTTTCGTCTCTTTTTTTGAGTTTGTAGGATTTTACAACTTTTGTTACAACCCTACAATCCCAGTCATTCAGCCTCCCCAATCAATCCAAGGTAGGATCCCCATTTTAAAAACTTGGAAAGAACTATATCTAGAAAATAAAACTAAGCCCTATATTCTCAAAAACTTGAAGGCATAACAAAAATCATGTTGAAGTTCATGTACACTTGTTACTAAAGAAATTGCTAATCTTCACATATGTTTCCATCTTTTATATCATTTACTATAGATTCCATACCGTAAGACAGGGATACAACTTTTTCAAGCATCTGAATGATGCTGAGCACTAAAAGCATTGAAAGAAAATTGTTGCAGAGGGAAAGAGCAATGAGATATAATATCATTAAGTTCCGGATAAACTCTTTGTATGGGCATTACCATTATATGATGCTAACCTTAAGTTTAGTCTCATTGACCGTTAGAGAATTGAAATGTGTCTCTACGATATCCTCTTCATTCTTCACCAACTCCTTTTTGTTTAGAGGTCTCTTGCGCACCTGCAACCAGTCCATCATTAGCCAATTACAAGGAAAAATGGTAAGTGACGTCATGCGTCTTTCATTGTTAGACGTTAAACATCATTGATTGACAAATTTTCACTCTGGCAGAACATCATATTTTCCAGGATTTTAAGCAATCCACCTGACATTACCATCGCTGACAAAGTAGGCTTCGCTGCACAGTATAGTGCCATAGAAGTTGACCAGTAAACTATGGAAAGGCAGATTAAAGGGAATAGGAAAAACATACCACCACTTTGATCTTTGCAACATTGCTGGCCTTCTCTTTATCTGGAGCAGAATTTTTGAAAGGATTGTTCTCTTGCAAACCAAGAACCCTGCCAGTTGGTTTGTTATTCTCATAGTATGGTTCAGATTCATCAAAGCTTCTTCCCCAACCAAAATGATGGGTGGAAGGGGCATCATACAGACCAGGAACTGGCACCTACCAATATTTTTCACAAAAAGATCAGCAAAAAAATGTGTTAACTAGCTTAAGTTCACATTATTACTCCAAAATCCAAATCCAATTGCCTAAGTTAGCAATATCAGAGAACACTATATAGCAGAGTTAAATGATTAAAGAACATCACACTGACAAGGATCATCTAGTTATTTGGCATATTCATGGTTCAACAACAAATAGCTGTTCATCAACTCTCAAAATTTAAATGCACACCCCCTCCTCCCCCTACCAAAACACACGCCCACACAAGGAGTCCTTTTTTTTTTTTTTTTGCTACACAAAGTGTTTGGGTTTGCACTGACTACTCCCTCGAACACACAAAGTCCATGAACACAAAGAGTCCATAAACCATCGCAATTCTTTTGTAATCACGAGGTTTCCATTATATTAATAACAAATCTGATCAAATAATTTGCATGATTCCATAAATGCATCACGTTATATACTAGATTAACATAGAACTAATAGTGAAGTTCACTAGTCAACGAACAGATACGACTCCAACATAGAACTAAAAAAATTCATCCCAAGATAAAGAAATGCAAACTGAAATTTAGGAAAAGCACCTCAGGTAGAAGCTCAGAATCGAAAGAGTGTAGATCCAAGAGTCCACGACTGAACTCATTCAGAGACGCTTGTTCCTCAGCATTCTTCCTACGGTTTGACATTGCCGGCGGCATCAATGGCTCAGTGAAAAAGTCACTCCCTCCACTAGAAATCCTCTGCGAATTCCTATACATTCTCATACCCTGACCTCCTCCACCATAGTGATCAAAGCCCTAGCCCCAACACATCCGAAAAAATATAAAAAAAAAATCTAAAATACAAAATCTAAAAATTGAATTATTGTATATAGTGGCAGATCTATAAAAACATGTACACTTAGTTTCAGATTTTTTTGAATCTAATATAAAAGACTCAAATAAAATGTATAAGGATCGGAACCTGTGGAGAAGGAACAGTGTTATTTGAGGACTGAAGGTGTTGAAGACCAGTTGATTGTAGCCATCGGCCATTGGAAGAGGCCTCTACGGAGTTGTCGGAATGCTGTCGCTGGTGATGCACCGCCAATGTACCAGATCTCTGTCTCCCCACAGCGTTCGTGTCTCTTTCTCTCCCTGTAAATTTACTCAACTTCGGATCAAAACTCTCTCTCAAAAGCTAAAACCACACTAAGAAATTATTTCAAAAGATTACTTGGACTCTCTCTATAAATGTACTAAAGCTTCGATTACACCCTCTTTATTCTCTAAAATCAATCAGTGTCTGACATTCAAATTTGAGAGGAGTGTGTGTGTGTGTGTGTGAGAGAGAGAGAGAGAGAGAGTCTTGGAGATGAAATGAAGACTCCGGCGCATGGAAGCTTGGGAGTTCAATGGTGGTAAAATTAGCTTGCAGGTTTTGAAATTCGGAAGACAGAGAGTGAGACGAGAGTGTGGGATTACAGGATTTAAATCCAGAAATCTTAATTCAAATTTTCGCAACTCCTTAATCTTGTCATGCTTATGAATACCCTAATCCGGAAAGGCATTGGTCGAGATCAGGTAACCCCGAATGTAACTAAAATAAGAATACTAAGGCAGATATTTAAAAAAATTAAAAATAATATAATACGAAATCAACTTATCAGAATAATGGTACAAATAGCTCTAATTATTGATAAGTTCAGGGATAATTGATTAAAATAATTTAATCATATTCAACAGAAGTTGAAAGAGACATCAATTAAAAAAAATTATCGAATTTCTCTTAATAGTACTAGAAATAGAGGGAATATATAAATTAACATTGAATAAAATAATATTAAAAATATTTAACTTAAATGAGCGTGCAGTGTACGATTAAAATGAATGATAAAGACGGACTCGTATAATTAATCTAAAATGATTAGGATATAAGGCTTATTTTAGTTTATTTTTGATTATATATAAGTTAATTCGGACACACTAATCAATAAACAAAAAAAATAAAAAGAAGAGAGTGGGAATTGAAGGAGTCAAATGAATGGGTTTGTTGGTTGACCATAAACTGCTGAGTGTAAAATAAATTTAATCTATTTTTTACCCAATTAATAAATGGGTTGGGTTGACTTAGTCACTTGTAAAATAATTAAAACTCTTAATAAAAATATACACTAATATACAAGAAATACACACACTAATATATTAAAAATACACAATAATATATACAAAAATACACACATTCATGTACAAAAAATACAAACACACTTAATAAAACACAAAAAATGTGTACATATACTATTCATCAAAATACACACAGATTAGCAAGTCGAGTGTGGGTCAGGTCGTGGGTTGATCACAGATTATGGGTCGAGTATTAGCCTGTGATTTTTGTGTAGTAGTATATGTGTGTTTATTTTTTTGTGTATTAGTATGTGTGTATACTTTTTTTGTGTATTAGTATGTGTGCATTATTTTTTTGTATATTAATATATTTATTTAATTTTATTACTTATATTATTTAATAAAAAGAAAAATACTCAACTCAATTGATACCTATTTATAAGTTATCTTAACTATCTTATTTATGGACTATTTAGATAAATTAATCGGTAGTAGATTACGATTACTACCTCCAGTGAGACAAATATGAGAACTGGGGTTGGCCTAATAGTAAGTAGGGTGTCAATTGACTCAATGTTAACTCTGATTGGTCATAAATTTTAAAAAAATCACCTTTCACAAATTCGATTACACCCCGAATAGAAATAAATCATTAAAAAATTTGACACAATATAACGAATACAATTTAAAAGTATAACACGATACAACCTAATGATGCACAAAATAATTTTGCACACCACTTGTCAAGTGATTGAAAATAAATGAAGTAATTTAAAGTAAAGAGAGATGGATGAGAGAAGATTTATAGTGGTTGGGTCAACGTGACCTACGTCTACTCTTAAATGACTTTGGTCACCGAGTACTTTTATTAGCTCAAGGGTCAAGGGAGCAGAGAGTACAAGTTTTGAGAGGGAGAGGAGAGTTGTGCTCAGGTAGGAGTGTGATCCCAAGTGTTAGTGGGACTTACAATTTATAGTCGTCCTCCTAACAGATTTGGGCGAGATATTAGCAACTACATAACTATTCTGGTAGAGTTCACAACTTCTCCTCAGCGGGCTAGGCAGTTGCGGTGCTCTCCATGAGATTCGGTCAAATGATGACGTGGGTGTTAACTCCTTCAAAGGGGAAGAGGATAAGACTCTTGGATAACATTGTATGCTCCAAGGTGGTAGAGGAGGAAGGCTAGGTGCCTGAGGTGGAGACCTAGGCGTCTGTGAAGGAGAGTTGGGCGCCTACGGAAGGGAGCTGGGCGTTTGAGGATGGCCTTGCATGCTCCTCTACTGATATAACTCGTGAAACTTGATGAACTTGACCGGGTGCAGACTCCTTTGGGCTTGTAACATGAGTTAGGCCATTGGGTTTGGCTCATCATTTGCCCCTCAATGCTCTGTGTCCAATGGAACTTGGAAAGGAGAGCATTCGATTAAGTTTGAATTTTTGGCTAACTGGCACAACTGAAAAAACTTCGGGAGGCCAAAACATTTGCTTCCAAACCCTTTTTGGACTTGTTATAGCATCAATCACAGCCAAAGGCTATATGTCTTGTAGGACTCGTCGAGAGCTTCAATTTGATATATAATAAGCCTCTGTTTGGAGTTACAGAGCAAAATTTACAATCAAAATAGCGAGTAGCGCGATTTTGGGCGAGCAGCAACTTCTAGGCGAGCTTGGGGCTACCTTGGGCACCTTCGGCGAGCTCCACTAAAGTAGGTGGCATGGTGGGTGCTAGCATGGGTGTGCAAGGGCTGTGCGCTAGCAGGCCCCAGACGCTTCTCCAACTATCTCGTTTGGGTGAGCACATAGGATCAGACTCCTCTAGATGCTGGGGCACCATGTTTGGGCGAGCATAGAGCTTCAGACACCTCTCTAGGTGCTGGGCTGCATCGTTTGGGCCAGCACATAGGATCAGACACCTCTTCAGGTGCTGGGTTTAGGGATGTCAATGAACCGAAGCGGGGGCGGGGGGATATAGTCTCCATCCCCATATCTGCTTAAAAAATCTTCGTCCATCCCCGGTCTACCCCCGTTAACGAGTATAATTTTCATCCCCATCCCCGCCCACGGGTAAATTTATAATTCTCGTCCCCGCTTCCCCCGTACCCACCCAAGCCCAAACATAAGCTCAAGCCCAAGCCCAAGCCTAAGCCTAAGCTCAAGTTCAAGTCAACATTATCCAAAACTCTAAATAAATCCAACATTTAAAATCTAACATTTCAACTACATGTAAAAATCAACTAAGTAGAAACCAAACTATAATAAATGCATGCACTTAAAAGTCCAATATCATCAAGCTCTAAATAGACAGAATATATCACTATTTCAGAGTCACCCTATATACACAGGGTGTAAAAGGTAAAAGGCTGAAAACTTGAAGAAGAATTGGATTTGTGTTTTTTTAGTCAGAACAAACATCATAAAGAAAATGACTTTGTATATGTTCCCTGTCTGATATGGTTTGCTAAAACTACGACAGTCTTCATGTTTGAAAGCCAAAATACAGTTTAACTTATTAAAAGACATCTTTGAACAACAAAAGGGTGTGATCATGCTCCGTTTCTAACTATCAATCCACCAAAATGTAAAACAAAATCTGAAAATTAGTGAACAACAATTTTGTCACATAAGAATTGGTAACTTATATTTGTCACATAAGAATTGGTAATTTTATTCATTTATTTATTTAACGGGTAACGGGGATAGGGACGGGGATGGGGACAGGGATGGGGACGGGGACGGGGCGAGGGCGGGGGTAGGGGTAAGTTCATCCCCGCCTCCATCCCCGAACGGGTTTATATGGGTATCCCCGTATACGTCCACCGTCCAATACGTATAGTCCATTCTCGGTCCAAACGGGGCAGATTTGGACGAATACCCATTTTTCTCCGATCCACTACCATCCCTAGCTGGGTTACCTCGTTTGGGTGAACATAGAGCATCAAGCACCTCTCCAAGTGTTGGGTTGCCTCATTTTGGCTAGCATAGAGTGTCAAACACCTCTCTAGGTGCTGGGCTGCCTCGTTTGGGAGAGCACATAGGATCAGACACTCCTCTAGGTGGTGGGCTACCGCATTTAGGCACCTTGGGTGAGCCTGGGACTTCCTCGAGCATTTTGGGGGGATGCCTTGGGCGCTTTGGGCGAGCCTGCTTGTGATGGATAGAAACAATGTTATTCCAAACATAAAAATATCTCACATAATTACCTAGAGAGAGAAGTAGGCTGTCTGTGCGAGAACAAAGACAGAGTTGGAGAACTGCTCGTGAGAGAGCTATACATTTTGAGGCCTAGCTTTTAGCAATCCATGAGAAAGTCTTTAAGCTTGAGGTATAGGCTGCCTGTTTGAGAACAGTGCAGAGGCCAAGCTTTTTTGACGACCCCTGAGAGAGCCGCTAAGCTGGAGATAAGCTGCCCGTTTAAGAACAGTGTAGAGGCCAAGCTTTTTTGGAGACCCTTGAGAGTGTCGCTAAGCTGGAGATAAGCTGCCCGTTTGAGAACAGTGCAGAAGCTAAGTTTTTTTCGCAAACCCTGAGAGAGCCTCTAAGATAGAGATAAGCTGTCTGTGTTGAGAACAGTGGAGAGGCTAAGCTTTTTGATGACCCGTGAAAGAGCCACTAAGCTGGAGATAAGTTGTCTGTTTGAGAACAGTGTAGAGGCCAAGCTTTTTGGATGACCTGCGAGAAAGTCGCTAAGCTGGAGATAAGCTACCTATTTGAGAACAGTGCAAAGGCAGGTAAAGCTTATGGTGATCTGCGAGATGATTCACTTTTCCTAGACCTGTTAATTTTATCAGCATTCATATATTTTTGAGCATTTACCAATAGTTCTGGTATGCTCTTTGGTGGTCGCTTCATTACTAAAAAAAAAATCTGGATGAGCTGAGGCCTCCCAGAAAGGCGGTCAGGGTGACTTTGTCATTGGGCTCCTCGATTTGGAGGACCTCCTCGTTAAAATGAGTGAGGTAACTCCTCAGACTCTCGTCTCGATCCTATTTTATGTTGAGCAGATGGGTGACAGACTTTTGTTGGCGGCGGCCACCAATGAACTGTGCCACAAATGATCTGCTCAGTTCGGCGAACGAGCCAATGGAGGTGGGGGTGAGTTTGGCAAACCATTGTCGCGCTGATCCCTTCAAAGTAGTTGCGAATACCCTACACATAATTTCATCGAGGGCGTTGTGCAGTTGCATTAGGGTCTTGTAGGTTTCAAGGTGATGAAGTGGATCATTCGTTCCGTCAAAGGTCTTCACGGATGACATTTTGAACTTTTGATGGAGGGGGTAGTTCGCCACGTTAGGTTTGAAAGGCGTGTCTGTCCGCCTTACAAGGTAGTCCACTGCCTCGGGTTCCTACACCTTCATGGCGTTGAAGACGTCACCCAGTTGATTTTGTACTTCCTTAATTTTCTCATCCCAGTGATTAGGGACTCCTCTGGATGATCATGGAAATGACT